TCAGGAGCTGGAGTGTCTGCAGGATCATCTGGAGGATCTGGCGCCCGGCTGCAGGGATGTGGTGGGGAACCTGACAGAGCTCGAGTCTGAGGTACACAAACTGTGTAGTGATGTGTTTCTCTGCTGGACGTCCAGCTGGGGCCTGTACCACTAGCTGGATAGCCAGTTAAGTTTGCACTCATCCTGGGTTTTGGAGAACTTGAAGGCATGGCCTTATGGAGCAACCTGAACGTATGCTGAACATACCCTGAGAATATCCAGAACATAACCTGAGCATATCCAGAACATAACCTGAGCATATCCAGAACATAACCTGAACATATCCAGAACATAACCTGAACATATCCAGAACATAACCTAAGCATAATCAGAACATAACCTGAGCATATCCAGAACATAACCTAAGCATAATCAGAACATAACCTGAGCATATCCAGAACATAACCTGAGCATATCCAGAACATAACCTAAGCATATTCAGAACATAACCTGAACATATCCAGAACATAACCTGAGCATATCCAGAACATAACCTGAGCATATCCAGAACATAACCTGAGCATATCCAGAACATAACCTGAGCATATCCAGAACATAACCTGAGCATATCCAGAACATAACCTGAACATATCCAGAACATAACCTGAGCATATTCAGAACATAACCTGAACATATCCAGAACTCAACCTGAACATATCCAGAACATAACCTGAACATATCCAGAACTCAACCTGAACATATCCAGAACATAACCAGAGCAGATCCTATTCTGAAGCAGGTTATCTGTGCAGTGTAAGATACTACAACAACCAGGAGTTAATAAAGTGCAGCTGCCTTTATGGTGCCTCAAAGCCAGGATTGGCACAAAATAAACTGAAACTTAACCAGCTAATCCAGCTACATGCTACAGGTACCTGATGTTTGTGTGTTGTGTGTCTGCTGACGTGTGTTTCTGCTCCTCAGGACATTCAGATCGAAGCACTGCTGATTCGGGCCTGTGAGCCGGTGATCCAGTCCTACTGCCATGTACGTTTGTGAGCCGTGTGTGTGGTTGCGTGCGTGCGTGTGTGTGCACGTGTGTTCTCCTGCATCTCTAAGCGTCCTCTTCTGTTTGTGTTGTGCAGGAAGTGGCTGATAATCAGATCGACACCGGAGACCTGATGGAGTGCCTCGTGGCCAACAAACACCAGAAGGAGATGAACGAGAAGTGTGCTGTGGGGGTCACACACTTCCAGCTGGTGCGTCTGACGTCACACACTTATACACACACACACACACACACACACACAATACAGTGTCTGCTTTCATTTACATTTATCATTCAGGGAAAATCACACACTCTCTCACACAGAAAAATATCACTCTCTCTCTCACACACACACACACACACACACACTTCCTGTTCCTCTGTTTACTGTGTTTCTCCTGCGCTTCAGATCCAGATGAAGGACTTCCGCTTCTCCTACAAGTTTAAGATGGCGTGTAAAGAAGACGTGCTGAAGCTCTGCCCCAACATCAAGAAGAAGTGAGACTTCACCATCCTCACACTGATCTCACTCAATGCATCAATACACTGATTTTACTCTAGTATTATTGAGCTGCGGCTCTTGTGGAGTGTGTGTGAGTAGAGCATGATGGGAAGGTGTTGTGTGTTCAGGGTGGATGTGGTCATCTGTCTGAGCACTACAGTCAGGAATGACACCCTGCAGGAGGCCAAAGAGCAGCGAGTGTCCATGAAGTGCCGCAAGCAGCTGCGGGTGGAGGAGCTGGAGATGGTCAGTGCTTCTACTCTTCATTATGACACCAAGCTTAAACTAAACCAACTGACACTGAATATGAAACTGTACTGGAGCGCTGTTTCATTCTGGGTTCACATTTAATGTAGTTGTGACGTGTGTTCTGTTGTGTTTGTGTTCCTGCAGTCAGAGGACATCCGTCTGGAGCCTGAGCTGTATGAGAGCTGCCGGCAGGACATCAAGCAGCACTGCCAGAATGTGGTGTTCGGGAACGCACAGGTGAGCCTCACGCTTCAATAATGTATCACTGACCAACCTGCTTTCTGACTGCAGGACTCGCCACACCACTAACTGACCACAGCACTGACCTCGTGACTGACTGACTTACCACATCACTGGCAGAGCGACTGACCGACTGCACTATTGATCAGGGCTGATTGATCCCACCGTTGACCAACTGTTGAACCGCACCACTGACTGATCACACTACTGACAACAGACTGACCAACTTGTGGATCGCACTACTGACCACCTGACTGATTGCACTAGTGGCCATCAGACTGACCAACTTACTGACTGCACTACTGACCAACTTACTGACTGCACTACTGACCAACTGACTGAACCACTGACCAACTTACTGACTGCACTACCGACCAACTTACTGACTGCACTACTGACCAACTGACTGAACCACTGACTAACTGACTGACTGCACTACCGACCAACTTACTGACTGCACTACTGACCAACTGACTGCACTACTGACCAACATACTGACTGCACTACTGACCAACTGACTGAACCACTGACTAACTGACTGACTGCACTACCGACCAACTTACTGACTGCACTACTGACCAACTGACTGCACTACTGACCAACATACTGACTGCACTACTGACCAACTTACTGACTGCACTACTGACCAACTTACTGACTGCACCACTGACCAACTTACTGACTGCACTACTGGCCAACTGACTGAACCACTGACCAACTTACTGACTGCACTACTGACCAACTGACTGACTGCACTACTGACCAACTGACTGCACTACCGACTAACTGACTGACTGCACTACTGACCAACTGACTGAACCACTGACCAACTTACTGACTGCACTACCGACCAACTTACTGACTGCACTACTGACCAACTGACTGACTGCACTACTGACCAACATACTGACTGCACTACTGACCAACTTACTGATTGCACTACTGACCAACTGACTGACTGCACTACTGACCAACTTACTGAACCACTGACCAACTTACTGATTGCACTACTGACCAACTTACTGACTGCACTACTGACCAACTGACTGAACCACTGACCAACTTACTGACTGCACTACCGACCAACTTACTGACTGCACTACTGACCAACTGACTGACTGCACTACTGACCAACTTACTGACTGCACTACTGACCAACTGACTGACTGCACTACTGACCAACTGACTGACCAACTTACTGACTGCACTACCGACCAACTTACTGACTGCACTACTGACCAACTGACTGACTGCACTACTGACCAACTTACTGATTGCACTACTGACCAACTGACTGAATCACTGACCAACTTACTGACTGCACTACTGACCAACTGACTGAACCACTGACCAACTTACTGACTGCACTACTGACCAACTTACTGAACCACTGACCAACTTACTGACTGCACTACTGACTGCACTACTGACCAACTTACTGACTACACTACTGACCAACTGACTGAACCACTGACCAACTTACTGACTGCACTACTGGCCAACTGACTGAACCACTGACCAACTTACTGACTGCACTACTGACCAACTGACTGACTGCACTACTGACCAACTGACTGCACTACCGACCAACTGACTGACTGCACTACTGACCAACTGACTGAACCACTGACCAACTTACTGACTGCACTACCGACCAACTTACTGACTGCACTACTGACCAACTGACTGACTGCACTACTGACCAACATATTGACTGCACTACTGACCAACTTACTGATTGCACTACTGACCAACTGACTGACTGCACTACTGACCAACTTACTGAACCACTGACCAACTTACTGATTGCACTACTGACCAACTGACTGACTGCACTACTGACCAACTGACTGAACCACTGACCAACTTACTGACTGCACTACCGACCAACTTACTGACTGCACTACTGACCAACTGACTGACTGCACTACTGACCAACTTACTGACTGCACTACTGACCAACTGACTGACTGCACTACTGACCAACTGACTGACCAACTTACTGACTGCACTACTGACCAACTGACTGACTGCACTACCGACCAACTTACTGACTGCACTACTGACCAACTGACTGACTGCACTACTGACCAACTTACTGACTGCACTACCGACCAACTTACTGACTGCACTACTGACCAACTGACTGACTGCACTACTGACCAACTTACTGATTGCACTACTGACCAACTGACTGAACCACTGACCAACTTACTGACTGCACTACTGACCAACTTACTGACTGCACTACTGACCAACTTACTGATTGCACTACTGACCAACTGACTGAACCACTGACCAACTTACTGACTGCACTACTGACCAACTGACTGAACCACTGACCAACTTACTGACTGCACTACTGACCAACTTACTGACTGCACTACTGACCAACTTACTGAACCACTGACCAACTTACTGACTGCACTACTGACTGCACTACTGACCAACTTACTGACTACACTACTGACCAACTGACTGAACCACTGACCAACTTACTGACTGCACTACTGACCAACATATGGACAGCACTACTGATCAACTGACTGAACCATTGGTCAACTTACAGACTGCACTACTAACCAACTGACTGGTCGCACCACTGACTGTCATTCATTTTAAGTGAACAGCTGACTGACGTGTGTGTGTGTGTGTGTGTGTGTGTGTGTGTGTATTCAGGTGATCGAGTGCCTGAAGGAGAATAAGAAGCACCTGACGCAGCACTGCCATCAGAAGGTGTTCCGGCTGCAGGAGACGGAGATGATGGACCCCGAGCTGGACTTCCAGCTGATGAGGGTCTGCAAGCAGATGATCCGGGTGAGGAGAGCTTCAGAAACGGCAGCATCTTCATCATCATCATCATCACCCTCATCATTATTGTACTTCTCCATCCTCAGCGCTTCTGCAGCGACACGGACGCCAAGAACCTGCTGCAGTGCCTGAAGCAGAACAAGAACAGCGAGCTCATGGACCCCAAGTGCAAACAGATGATCACCAAGAGGCAGATCACACAGAACACGGGTATCTGCTCACTCAGAGGCTGTTCTTATTCATTTATTTGTTTATTTTCAACCATTGCAAACTTCTGGAAGATGTTCACACTGTACAGAAGCGACAGTACTGTTGGTGATGTGTGTGTGTGTGCTGTAGATTACCGCCTGAACCCAGTGTTGAGGAAGGCCTGTAAAGCCGACATCCCCAAATTCTGCCAGAACATCCTGAACAACGCCAGAGACGACAACGAGCTGGAGGGACAGGTCATCTCCTGCCTCAAACTCAAATACGCTGACCAGGTGACAGAACACACACACACACACATTCTCACCCCAGAGACACAAACTATCTCACACACACACTCACTCATGCAAATAAACGCGCACAGACAAACAAGCAAGTGCACACCCTCTCTTTCTATCACACACACTCACACACGCTCAAACACACATGCACACATACAAACTAACACGCACACAAACGCACACACACACAAAATATCAATGCTTACCTGAGTGTGTGTGTGTGTCTCTCCCTCTCTCTCTCTGTGTGTCTGTGTCTCTGTGTGTGTGTGTGTGTGTGTGTGTGTGTGTGTGTGTGTGTGTGTGTGTGTGTCTCCAGCGTCTCTCCTCAGACTGTGAGGCTCAGATCAGTGTGATCCTCCAGGAATCTGCTCTGGACTATCGGCTCGACCCGCAGCTGCAGCTCCAATGCAGTGAAGAGGTACACACACACACACACACACACACACACACACACTAGACATGTTTCTGTTAACAAACACTAAATAGACATTCAACACTCAACTTTGCAGGAAGGAGATCATGACAAAATGTGTGTGTGTGTGTGTGTGTGTGTCTAGATCCCGCGTCTGTGTGCAGAGGAGGTGGCTGCGCAGGAGCAGACGGGGCAGGTGGAGGAGTGTCTGAAGGTCAACCTGCTGAAGATCAACCATGAGGGCTGCAAGAAGGTAAAATCTGATCCAGGGTCAGCTCTGAGTGTGTCTGCAGTGTGTAGCAGTGGCATCTTTGAGCCTGTGTGTGTCTGTGTGTGCAGGAGGTGCTGAACATCCTGAAGGAGAGTAAAGCCGACATCTTCGTGGACCCCGTCCTGCACACCGCCTGCGCCCTCGACATCAAACACCAGTGTGCTGCCATCCCACCCGGCAAAGGCAGACGTGAGTGTGTGTGTTAATGTGTGTGTTGGTACTAATAGCCTAGTGTTAAATCTTGCCAACATATAGCACTGAGGTGCTCACGGCGTCCTGAGTTTGAGTTCTGGCTCGAGGTCCTTTACCAGTCCTTCCCTTTTCTCTGCTCCCGGTGCTGTCCTGCCTGTGACCTCCTAATACATGTGAAACTAATATTAATGAAGAGGAAAAACCCCTAAGAGACAAAAATAATGTGTGTGTGTGTGTGTGTGTGTTTTTGTGACTCGTCAGGCTGCAAATACACTCACCGGCCACTTTATTAGGTACACCTTACTAGTATCAGGTTGGACCCCTTTCACCTTCAGAACTGCCTTAATCCTTCATGTCAGAGATTTATCAAGCTACTGGAAATATTCCTCAGAGATTTTGCTCCATGACAGCATCACACAGTTGCTGCAGATTTGTCGGCTGCACATCCATGATGCCAATCTCCCGTTCCACCACATCCTAAAGCTGCTCTATTGGATTGAGCTCTGGTGACTGTGGAGGCCATTTGAGTACAGTGAACTCATCGTCATGTTCAGCAGTCTGAGATGATTGAGCTTTATGACATGCTGCGTTATCCTGCTGGAAGTAGCCATCAGAAGATGGAGACACTGTGCTCATAAAGGGATGGACATGGTCAGCAGCAATACTCAGGTAGGCTGTGGCGTTGATGCTCAATTGGTACTAATGGACCCAAAGAAAATCTCCCCCACACCATTACACCACCACCACCAGCCTGAACCGCTGATACAAGGCAGGATGATCCATGCTTTCATGTTGTTGAGCCGAGCATCTGAATGTGTCAGCAGAAATGGAGACTCATCAGAGCAGCAACGTTTCTCCAATCTTCTATTGTCCAGTTTTGGTGCGTTCAGAGATGCTGTGATGCTCGCTTTGAACTGCAGCAGATCCTCTTGATCACGTCTACATGCCTAAATACAGTGAGCTGCTGCCATGCAATTGGCTGATTAGACCTTTATGATAACAAGTTGGACAGGTGTACCTAATAAAGTGGCCGGTGAGTGTGTGTGTATAATGTCGTGGCTGTGACTGAAGGGGAATCATGAGGACATTGCTGAAAAGCTTATAACTCGCACAGAAGGAAAACAAACCTGTGTGTGTGTGTGTGTGCGCAGAGATGTCCTGTCTAATGGAGGCTCTTCAGGACAAACGTGTCCGCCTGCAGCCCGAGTGCAAGAAGAGACTACAGGACCGCATAGACATGTGGAGCTACGCTGCCAAGGTATACACACACACACACACACACACACACACTTAAATTGATGTGAATTTGAGTATAAATGGTTTTGCAATTTACACATTCAAACACTGACACACATACACACACACACAAAAACTCAAATGCTGTAGACCAGGGGTCACCAACCCTGTTCCTGGAGATCTGCCGTCCTGCAGAGTTCAGCTGCAACCCGTATCAAACACCCCTGCCTGTGATCATCGTGTCCGGTTCAGGTCCTCATGAATTGGCTCAGGTGTGTTTGATCAAGGCTGAAGCTGAACTCTGCAGGTAGTTGGACCTCCAGGAACCGGGCTGACCACCCCTGCTGGAGACGGCCAACTCGACTGACTTTGTACATCTAATGTTGTGTTTGCTGCACACAATTTACACACGTCTTCCAGAAGTCTTGCTGTTAAGTGATTTGACTGTTCATTTGTGTGTGTGTTTGTGTGTGTGTGTGTGTGTGTGTGTGTGCGCTCAGGTGGCTCCAGCAGAAGGTTTCTCAGATCTGGCGGGTCAGGTGTTCACGTCTCCTGCTAAGAGCTACATCCTGAGCATGCTGGCGATGTGTGTGGTGCTGCTGTTCCTCATGGGTCTGCTGTGCGGACGCATCACCAAACGCGTCACGCAGGAGCTGAAGGACAGGTAGAGCGGAGAGTGGCGCGGGGGCGGCGTGTTAGTGTGTGTGTGTGTGCGTGAGTGCGTATGCGTGAGTGAGTGGTGCCCCCTGCAGGCCAGAATGCCACCCTCTGCCTGGAACTCTGGGGTGGCAGGGGGGTGGCAGCAATGATAGACTCAAGCTCTCTAACGAGTGTGTGTGTGTGTGAGAGATGAGTGTGTGTGCAGCATGGATGGCCACATTGGGACCCAGTTTTAATGGCTACACACACACTCTGTTCCCCCTGACTGTGCTCGTCCATCATCGTCTTCTGCTTCTGCTGTGGATCAACCGATAACACAAAGACTTCGCTCTCCGGCTAAACCCGTTTATTTATTGTGGACGCTCCGCCGTCCGCTTTCCCAGCACAGACTGTCAACAGCACAGAGGATGAGGAGCCAACGAATGTGTGTGTCTGTGCCTTTCGCCCGTCCCACAGCCAGAGCTGTCAGTCAGTCGTGATCATGGGCTGCTGCTGCTGTTTGTTTTCTCTCGATGGGATCATTGATTCAGTAGGGGTGTACATGTATTGAATCTCTCTCTTATACGGTTGATTTGATTTCGTTTGGGTTTCTGGATCGTGAAGGTTTCACCCAATAATTGGTCCAAACTGAGCCAGAAGTGAGTGATTGTAATGTTAAATGTGTGTGTTTGTTCTCAGTGGCCGCGTTCGGACGTCTCGCCGTTTCTGATTGGTGTGTTTATAAGTGCCATGCTCTAAACATCCGCATGAAGAGTTCTTCATCCAGCCCGTTCTGAAGGCCTTCTCTGATGGGCTGTCCGCTCGCCTCTCGCTCAGTTTTTTGGGATTAGTTGATTTTAAGCACTCCATTTTTTGCACACACCTCCGAGATAAGCTTGTGCACGGATGCACCAATTCTTCAGTGCTTTTACCTTTTACTTTGTGTTTTATGGAGCACACACTGCCGTCCGCTCGCTTGGTTTCTCTTGCGCATCATTCACTGTTGTCGTTTTCCTGGAAAACTCGACAGGAGTCGGATTGTGGATGTAAATTCGTTCCCCTGTAAATGCTTATTATTTTCCCACGTTGGCATTAAATCAGTCCCCAGTTCACTGTAAACAGAGCCGCGGCGCTCCAGTCGCTCTGCCTTTTTAAATCATTTGTATTCCTCTTTTGTTTGTATGCTTTTTTTTCTACATTAAAGTGGACTTTGGTTCTGGTGTTTGAGCTTTAATCATCTAAGTCACGATGCTGTACCGTCTCTACTGTAAATAGCTGTATGGTTTGACTGGAGGATTGTGGGTAGCGCAGACCCTGCCTTAATAATGCTGTGTTTCTATCTTTCTGCAGAAGACTTGCTCAGCCACCTTTAGGAAAGGACAGGAAAGGATACATCCCAATTAACTAACAAAAGTCAGTGCTAATGACTAAAATTAGCTTCTGTTTGCGTTTCACGCAAGTGATTAGAGGCCAAACGTTTGCTTGTGTCCTCTTCTCGCTGGCGTTCATCACTCTTATCTTTACTTCCTGCATTGATATTTCTTTGTGTCTCTCATGCAGAGGAAAACCGTCCTTCATCCGCACTGACGGAGGTCTTTAACTAACGCGTATTAACGATGCTAACTGCTGTTCATTAAGATGAATCTGTTCATCCGCAGGACTTCAGGTGTCAGTAATAATCATGAGCATCTGCATTTCTGGATATAACAGGAGAGTTTCTGATTAAAAATTGAAAATCTTTGCTTTTTTTTTAGTCTTTAAATGCAGAAATGTCCATCAAAATTAGGCTAAAATGATCCAATCTTCAGTCAGATGCTCAAAACATCAACATTAATAGCTGAAATATGACCAAATCCAGAGTTTTCCCATATTATGATTCATTTAAAAGGCCATGACTCTCGAGAGCATGCGGCCGGGAGGGATTTCATCAGTTCCTAATGATGTAATGATGATGATAATGCTGTGTAATGGGGTTCTGGGGGTCAGTGTGTCCATGATTGATTGCTGCAGTCTTTTTCTTTCTCTGTGCTTTTGCATTATTTTTGTAAACATTATTTTAGCACTGGAAAGTGTGTGTGTGTGTGTGTGTGTGTGTGTGTGCGCGTGCGTGTCTGGCGTGAGATTTGCTCTTCGCAATCATCTCGCAGCTATGCTTGCTCTGTCAATCTGAATGCGGCCCAGAGCTGGTGTGTGTGTGTGTGTGTGTGTGTGTGTGTGTGTGTGTGTGTGTGTGTGTGTGTGTGTGTGTGTGTGTGTGTGTGTGTGTGTGTGTGTGTGTGTGTGTGTGTGTGTGTGTGTGTGTGTGTGTGTGTGTGTGTGTGTGTGTGTGTGTGTGTGTGTGTGTGTGTGTGTGTGTGTGTGTGTGTGTGTGGTTTCTCCTGGACTCTGCCGAGCGATGTTCTCTACAGATGTATTAATAACTCAATAACTTCTGTTTGGTTCTGTATGTTGAATTGGGCCGTTGTTAATAAACCTGATCTGCTGGTTTGTATCCGCTGTGTTTTTGTGTGTGTGTGAGATGCTTGTCAGGTGTGTGTGAAGGTCAGCGTCGGTCAGTCTCGCAGCGCTGCCACATTCTCTTGTCCAGCGCAGGTCTTCTCCGTGTTCAGCTGAGTCTCTTCTCTGTGTTTTCAGTGGATTAATTAGTTGATGATCTACTAATGTGCGCTAGCAAACTCCACACTTTCATTTAGATGTCATGCAGACTTTTTGAAAGTGTGTATGTTGGCAATAACGCACAAGAGTTGCAGATATTCTGAAGCACAGATGTCTGTTACATGTACAGTGTTTATTTTGCTGCTGTTCATTGTTGTTCTGTAGGTAAACAATTAAAGGTTTCCCAGTGTTGGGTTGCAGCTGGAAGGGCATCCGCTGGATAAGTTGGCGGTTCATTCCGCTGTGGCGACCATTGATTAATAAAGGGACTAAGCAGAAAAGAAAATGATTGAATGAGACTGCAAAGGTTAATCCACTGATCAATCTTCAGCGTAAGCTTCTGTATTTGCATTGGCACTGCTCAGCTGATATTTTAAGCCACGCCCCTTTTTACAGTAATTTGCTGTGAGGGAGTGATGTGCAACAGGAAAGCCCCGCCCCCTACTTAATATTCCGCTTCAGTTAGGAGTACACTAAGGGCTCTGGTTTAATCTAGGTGCAGAGTCTAAAGCTCATGGTGCAAACGCATTTAGGCCGTGTCTGAATCCACCTTTGCTATTTTAAGGACTGAATAATCCAGTCTGCACCCGCTGCATGGTCTAACAGGGTTATGTTTGGTCTCTACATGAGTTCTGGGTGATCATAATTGGCTTCATCACTGTCTTCTCTCCACCACTCAGCTGGTGTGCGGTTTTGTGCAATATGTCTGCCGTTGTCTCATCCAGGTGGATGAAGCACACTGATTAATGAGATTCCCTCCCAGAAATGTGTGTGAGGCACTTTGAGTGTCCAGAAAAGAGCTGTATACATGTAAGGAATTATTATTATTATTATTATTATTATTGTGAATGCTGTGAGTAACTGGGGTTTCAGATTATTGAATGGATATTTTCTTGCATAGACTGACTGCAAGTTTATGCATTCACAATGGTTTGAACCATTATAGGGGTGGATAAATGTATATTTACAGTATTTATTATCTATTATTTGAATCATTAATTAAGATACTTGGAAAAAAAAATACTTCTCACTATTTAGAATGCTTGATCCCTCCATATGTGATGTTTCAACATCCTTTAGGGCAGTGGTAGGGAAGCCACGTGGCTCTTTGACCGAAAATATCGGTCCCCTTTCAATATTATTTTACCATTTTAAACCCTATAACCATCACTAAAAATCAGTTTCATATCAAATACAATTACAATCCCCTTTTAAATTGTATTTTTATACAGCACAATGAATAAGACCTGGTTTAGATCAATGTGCGTTCATGGCAATGTGGATGAACTTGAATTGTGACACCAATAAAGGGCAAACAACTCTCATTTCTATGGTTCTAACCTAAATTCGGACAACATTGAGTGATGATGGCGAAAATCAAAATACTATAAACTGTTCTTTCTCCATTCATGGACTTGCTGGACATGTGATGCTTCATATCTGTTTAGTTTTGAGTTGTGCATGGGCATAAATTAAGGTTTAGTTTAATCCTGTATTATTTATAGTGATATTACAAATAATAATATAATATTAGTAGAAATACTATAATATGTTTTTTGTAATTTATAGTAATACAGTAGCAAATGCATTTTTAAAAAAGGGATATTTAGATCCCATGATGTGGATGTGTATATGTATATATATATATATATAAAGTCAGAAGTATTCGCCCCTATTTTATTTTTTTCTAAATTTTTTTGTAATGTAGAGCAGATTTCTTCAGCACATTTCTGATCATAATAGTGTTAATAACTCCTCTCTAATAACTGATTTATTTTCTCTTTGTCATGATGACAGTAAATAATATTAGACTAGATATTCTTCAAGACACTAGTGTTCAGCTTAAAGTGACATTAATTGGTTTAATTAGGGTAATTAGGCAAGTTATAATTATAATATAATAATTCTAATCCAAATTATATCCAAATGGCTCTTTACAAAAATGCATTTGCTAAAAACAAATCAGAAATGTTGCTGAAAAAGGTTCCCAACCCCTCCTTTAGGGGGATTAAACCCGGGGGGTCAATTCCCCTTCATGCAGAATTAATAGCGAGTCAGTTTTCTTTTTTAGGTGAACTGTCCCTTTAAATAAAACTATATGTGAGTTTCAGATCCTCCTGTTATAGTTAACCTAGAGATTTCCTCCACGATCTCTCAGATTAGCTCTAAAGTGACTCGAACTGTTTATTCTGCTGCGTCTGTCATGCACTTTAATCTGAAATTGAAATCTGAAACTGCATTTCCTGTTTGTTTTCAGTTATATTGTCAGGTTACACGGATATATATACAATAGAAAGTGCATGCGCCGCCATATTTGTACAGGGCTCCCAGGACAAAGGTCATTCAGCCGCACTAGTCAAGACTAAAGCCTTTGGGTGCGTCCTAAATCGCATACTTGTGCACTATTCTACGCCATTTTGTAGTATAAATAGTGTAAGTAGTGCATTCACACTGAATACTCTAAAAGTAATAAGTGCACTTTAATTACCCGGATGATGCACTTATTCAACCGGCCACAGTCCTCCACTGCACTTTGGTCCCACATTCATTTCAAAGTACCGCTACCCTGTACTAAAATGGCGGCTCTATTGACGCATTCCTTCCAATAGATAACAATAGCGTAGGCGACATCTAATGTGAATATCTATGCTCAGATTGGGTCTGTCTGAGGTATTGGGCGGGGCCAACGTACTTAACCACACCCCTCCAGCTGTCAGTTTTAACATTGCTATGACAACAAACAGAAATGGTGAGGAGGAGGAGGAGTCTGTTAGGTAATAACTCTGCCCAAACCATTTTCCTTTCTGAATAAATTACTGCATCCAATCAGCTCGCAGTAGAAAAGAACAAGCCACGCCCACCGTTTACTAAATTAAAATTCCATTTCTAGAGGAACTGCAGCGCAATACAAAAGAAAATGGCAGCAGCTTCCAGATCAGGGGGACTTTAATCTTAGAGATTTCTCTCAGATGAGCTGTACAGTGACCTCGGTGTGTGTGTGTGCATGTGTGTGTGTGTGTGTGTGTGCTGATTCAGAAGTCGTACGGTGAGATGAAGAGCGTGACTCTGGTCAGATATCTCCCGATCAGCCTCCGTTTCTCCGTCTGGTCTATCTGGATGTCCACCGTCAGCTGATCCGGGCCCTGTATTGAGCGCAGCAGCACCAGCCGAGCGGTCCCCGGGCCCGAGCGCTGAATGCTGACCCGCTGAACGCTGCTGTTCCCCTGCAGACTGAAGCGCAGAGAGTCCCCCAGGAGCCGCTCCGCTGACACACGGAAGAGGACCACGGGGACCCGCATGTTGGAGACCACCGACATGAAGTGGAAACTGACGGAGAGCGGAGCCTGCAGACACGCCGAGTCCTCTTCAACACACGGGCTCCTCTCACAGCGCCTGTGGGGGACACACAACACTGCTCAAATGTGTGTGCGCGAGCCAGGGATATGGCATAAGACGGGTTTATAGGTGCTCCAGTTTCCCCCACAGTCCAAACACATGCGCTACAGGGGGATTGGGTAAGCTAAATTGTCCGTAGTGTATGAGTGTGTGTGTGAATGAGTGTGTATGGGTGTTTCCCAGTACTGTGTTGCAGCTGGAAGGGCATCCGCTGTGTAAAACATATGCTGGAATAGTTGGTGGTTCCTTCCGCTGTGGCGACCCCTGATTAATTAATGGACTAAGCCGAAAAGAAAATGAATGAGTGAATATAATGTTATATGCGCTGTGTGTGTGTGTGTGTGTGTGTGTGTGTGTGTGTGTGTGTGTTTACTCACAGCGCTGATGTCCTGATGTATGTGGCGTTGTGAAACTCAGGACAGTGGATGTGTTCGCAGCGATGTCCACCGTAAGTGTTCACACACACCTGCTCAGAGCTGCAGTTATGAGCCGCCTGCACACACTCGTCCACATCTACACACAACACAACACATCACATCAATACTGCCCTCTGCTGGACACACACACTCGAGTGCACACAGTGCTATTGGTGTACGCTACTTCTAGACCAGGGGTCACCAGTCCTGGTCCTGGAGGGCCGGTGTCCCTGCAGGGTTTAGCTCCAACTTGCCTCAACACACCTGCCTGGATGTTTCAAGTATACCTAGTAAGACCTTGATTAGCTTGTTCAGGTGTGTTTGATAAGGGTTGGAGCTAAAATCTGCAGGACACCGGACCTCCAGGAACAAGTTTGGTGACCCCTGCTCTAGACAATACATTTGTGTGTTATGCATAACACATCTTGTGTGAGTTGTGCATGGTTTTTTTTGCATGTGTGTTTTGTGGTACACTATGTATGGTGTGTTGTTTTTTGTTTGTGTGAGTGACTGTGTTGTGTACACTATTTTCAGATGGTGCTGTATGTGTGTGTGTGTGTGTGTGTGTCTTTCTCTCTCTTTCTCTGCTGTGTGCATGTATCTTTGCTTTGCATGTGTGTTTTTCTCTGCTCTGTGTGCGCATATATATTTATATATTTTTATTTATATTTACATTTTTATATTTTATATTTAAATTTTTACATTTATATATTTATTTTTATATATTTAGTTTTATATTTATATATATATATATATATATATATATATATATATATATATATATATATATATATATATATATATATATATATATATATATATAATAAATATATATTTTAAATGTAAATATATAAATATAAAATTACAAATATAAAAATATGAATATATAAATAAAAATAAATATAAATATATAAATAAATATATAAATATAAATATGTAAATAAAAATATAAATAAATATTAATATAAATATATAAATATAAATATTAAATAAATATGAAATATAGATATATAAATAAAGATAAATATAAAAATTCAAATATATAAAAAAAAAAATATATATATATATATATATATATATATATATATATATATATATATATATATATATATATATATATATATATATATACACATATATTGTGTGCGTGTGTACCGTGGCAGCTCCTGCTATCTCGGCTGAGCTTGTATCCATCCGGACAGCGGCAGTAGAAGCTTCCAGCTGTATTCACACAGGTGTGCGCACACACACGGCCAGGTGGAGTGTGTCGGAACAGCTCACACTCGTCTATGTCTAAAGCACACACACACATGCACAGCTGTTAAGAAATGAGTCACATTAATCATATCACATTATTATTAATTCCTCTTCTGTCTCATTTCATACATGATCACACTCAATCATTCGCCACGGTAAAACACATGTAATAACTGACAATGATCTGCTCTTTACCACCGGTGCTGTGTGTGTGTGGGACTCAAATGTCCCCACAAGTATAGCAATACCAGTGATTTTTACCCTTGTGTGTTGATTTGTTTGGTCCCCATGAGGTAAACATGCTGGTGGATACGCCAGAATGAAGGAATGCGCAGAGTGTTACTGTGAGGCTTGAGTTATACAGTCACACCAGTACACACCACAGCTCTGAGGAGTCCCCAAAACACATGAAAACACAACGTGGGTGTAAGAGTGTACATGTTTATATATTCATTTTCTTGTCTGCTTAGTCCCTTTATTAATCCGGGGTCGCCACAGTGGAATAACACGCCAACTTATCCAGCAAGTTTTTACGCAGCGGATGCCCTTCCAGGTGCAACCCATCTCTGGGGAACATCCACACACACATTCACACACACACACACTCATACACTAAGGACAATTTAGCCTACCCAATTCACCTGTACCGCATGTGTTTGGACTGTGGGGGAAACCGGAGCACCTGGAGGAAACCCACGCGAACGCAGGGAGAACATGCAAACTCCACACATGTTTTTTTTATATATATATATATATGTGTATGTATATGTGACCTGTTAAAGCTGGTGTGCATGCGTCTCTATGTATGTGTGTGTGTGTGTGTGTGTGTGTGTGTGTGTGTGTGTGTGTGTGTGTGTGTGTGTGTGTGTGTCACCCATGCAGAATGAGGTGTTGGAGCTGGAAATGCTGAATCCTGCATCACAGGAGCAGTGAATGGAGTCCAGAAACTCCACACAGCGAGACGCCCTCAAGTAGACGGAGGACAAGACTGTTGATGAAGATGATGATAGGAGTGATGAAGAGGAAGATGATGAGAATGTTGAGGATGTAGGTAGAGCGGTGGGTTCGTCATCATCATTCATCGCGCTGCCCTCAGTGTCTGCATCTGAGAGGACAGGAGATATCCGCCCTGAGAGCACACATGTTTATAATGTACATTATTCATATAGCAACTCGATTAAAAAACAAACACTGAAACGTCAAGCTACTGACGTGGTTATTGTCATATGTTCTCATATTTCAGCTGCTGAAGTGCTAATAAATAAACAAAGCAAGCAGCGGACAGGAGTGTGTGATGTGCTGAGTGTGTCGTACTCTGGCAGGACGGCTGTGTGTCGCTCCAGCTCAGAGACTGCAGACACACTCTGCTCTCGGGCCCCATCCGCTGGAACCCTGCGTCACACAGGTAGTGGATCTCATGACCCATCCTGAAGATGCGTCCCAGCACACGCCCGTTCATCAGCGGCGGGGGCGGAGGACAGGCTGGACAGAGACAGAACACACACATGATGAGGAATCCAAACAAACCTACTGACTGACGTATGTGCTGTCAACATGCCTCACTCACAGTGTTAAAGCAAGAGTATTCTCCTTCAGCTTAGCCCCTTTATTAATCAGGGGCCGCCACAGCGGAATGAACCGACAACTATTCCAGCACAATTTTTACACAGCGGATGCCCTTCCAGCTGCAACCTAGTAATGGGAAACTCCCATACACACTCATGCACACACACTCATACACTACAGCCAGTGTAGTTGATCAGTTCCCCTATAGTGCATGTGTTTGGACTGTGGGGGAAACCCACGCCAACACGGCGAGAACATGCAAACTCCACACAGAAACACCAACTAATCCAGCCGAGACTCGAACCAGCGACCTTCTTGCTTTAATGCCACAGTGCTAACCACTGAGCCACCGTGCCGCAAATAAGAACATGTTTTTATTTATAGTTAAGATGTTTGTGGATGTTTCCCAGAGATGGGTTGCAGCTGGAAGGGCATCCGCTGGGTAAAAACCTGCTGGATAAGTTGGTGGTTCATTCCACTGTGGCGACCCCGGATTAATAAAGGGACTAAGCTGACAAGAAAATGAATGAATGAATGAATGAATGCTTGTGTATATAATGCTCTTGGTGCATGCGTGTGTGTGTGCAGCAAGTAACTTTGTGTGTGTGTGTGTGTGTGTGTGTGACCTGTGCTGTGTGTTCTGGTGTTCTGCATCTGCTTCAGAGTTTTTTGGAGGCTCCTCAGACTTATCTCGTGCGCAGAGAGAGTCTTCATCATCTGCTGGAGAGCAGAATTCACCACCTCACACTCCTGCGCAACACACACACACACACACACACATCACGATAACAGCATTATTCCACAATAACACAGTACAGAAGCGTGTTTCAGTGTGTGTTTACAGTAAATATCTGAGTCTTATTTATTATTTATTTATATCTTATTTATTTATATTATTGATTAAAGCTGTCGCCTCAAAGCAAGAAGGTTGCTGGTTCGAGCCTTGGCTCAGTTGGTGTTTCTGTGTGGAGTTTGCATGTTCTCCCCGTGTTGGTGTGGGTTTCCTCCGGGTGCTCCGGTTTCCCCCACAGTCCAAACACATGCGCTATAGAGGAATTGGGTAGGCTAAATTGTCCATAGTGAATGAGTGTGTGTGGGTGTTTCCCAGTGATGGGTTGCTGCGTAAAAACGTGCTGATAAGTTGGCGGTTCATTCCGCTGTGGCGACCCCGGAATAAAGGGACTAAGCCGACAAGAAAATGAATGAATGAATAGGCGAGTTTTTCCTAAAATCAATCAAAATAATCTTGTTTTTCATTTTGACGTTATTTCTCCTTCCCCCACTGGCAGATTATTTTGCTTGTTTTTAGGAAAAACTCACTTAAATTTGGTAAAATATTTCCTAAAACAACACAATATGTTGTGCTCGTCTAGAAAATGCTTCTTGTCTTACGTGTTTTTAGATATTTGGACTATAAACGAGACAGAATCTCTATGTAAGAAGCATGTTCTGCTGTGTTTCAGGGCAGAGCAGTTGTCCTCCAGCTGCTGTATAGTGTGTTCTGCAGGATTGTATGGTGTCAGAGTGTGATTATGGGATGGTTTGGCTGTGTTCAGTGTTGGCCGGATCTGCTGTGTGTTTTTGGATGAAGGGTCTCATCAGAGTCTGGTGTTAAAGCCAGAGCAAACACCGCAGCGGCTTCACATGTGCACACAAATCCAGCTTTCTCAAGTCTGTAGCAGGTTTATCATGCTCTCCTGCATTTTTAACTCATTAATTTGAAATATTTTTGCTTTTATTTTTTCGTCTATATTGAGCTGCTTTGCGCAAATCTGCATTAAGTTATGCCAACCATCGAAGACAACTCAATACACAAATTATTGAACATGAATACACAGACGTCACCTATAAACCACATAACTGCAGGTTAACTTCATTTATATATAACGACTTTAACTGGTAAAGCTCTTAGTTACCAGTTAATTAAAGTTTTTAGTAACTAATAAAGTTATAGAAACTAATAATCAATGATGTTGATTGTAATGCAATAATGTGCACCTTCTTTAAAGCTGCTTCGAAACATTTATAATGTTACATATTCAGCATTATAGATGGCATAACGTGATCGGTTATTTCATTTCAAATACTATTAATACAAATGTTTATCTCATTAATTTAAATGAATTATACACCAGATTTTGTGGCCATTGTTTAAAATATAATTCATTAATAGAATATAATTACCTAATCATGCAAAATATGAAACTTATGAAAACAAAATGCAAATATTTTTGATCATCATTTTAGCTGTTTATGTTTGGGATTGTTCATTAAAGTCACTTACTTGTGCCTGAGATGTGGAGAGTTGGCTGGAGAAAATGATCCACACACACAGCAGCAGCTTCATCATCATAATCTCGAGATAAATGTTGATCTTGAAGTTCAGCAGGAGTTTGATCTGCAGTTTGAGTCTCGCTGAACATTAATCTGCAGTTTTTCCCCGCCTTCAATACACCTCGAACCAGGCAGAAAGCGGGAACGCGCAGCTACTCCGCACGCGAACGCGCATCAGGACAAAATCAACTAGTGTTTAATATAATGTTTTAATCATTATCCAAAAAAAATATGAAAACCTATTTTTTCAATATTATTTCAACTATTCATTTAACTATTTAGGATTGTTGTAAAGCCTGAGATGTGAAGAGTTGGCTGGAGAAAGTGATCCACACAAACAGCAGGAGCTTCAGCATCAGACATCTTGAGATAAATGTTGTTCTTTGAGTTTAGCAGGAGTTTGATCTGCATTTTGAGTCTCGCTGAACGTTAATCTGCAGTTTTTGCCTTGTTTTGAGGAGTTTTTAACCCGCCTTGATTTACAGCTCTAACCAGGCAGAAATCAGGAACGCGCATGTCCTCCGCACGCGAACGCGCATCAGAACAAAACAAACGGGTGCCTATATTTAACTTACCTTTTTACAGCTTGAACCGAAAATATCAAGATAGTCCTGAGAAATACTATAAAAATGCGCAAGTATACTATTAACATTTGCCGAGAGAGAGAGAGATTAATAAATAATAGTAATATCCATTATTAAATAAAACGACATTAGGGAGTTTGGGGGGAGTGACGCCCATAATTAACGCTTGATCCCTTCTGAAGGACGTCAAAATAATATGTTTGAAAGGATCATCAGCCCTTTAAATATTTTAGAAATATTTGTCTCTTATCTGTATCTTAAATAATAATATAGAAAATGTAAATAATGTATAGTATAACGTTGTCCACCCCTATATCGGTTCATACCATTGCCAACCCATAATCGCGCCAATCAGTCGAGAAAATGCGATAAAAATATTCATTTTACAGTCAGAAACCGGCAGATTTACAGCACTAATGGACATCATAAGAATTTTCTTGTCAAAATAGGTGTTTGTGTCAACATATAGCCTTAAAGTAGTCGAGCTACACGTTTGTATGGGTTGACCTACATTAGCTTCTCTAATAGCTAATCAGGGGATCCAGTATGAATAACTTCCGGTGAAAAGTTTGTGACTATTTTCAATCTCATACGGTTCTTTTTACAGCATTAATGTTGTTATGTAATTAAAATATCACCAGTTAATAGATTTAAGCATTCATTTAGTTGTTCAAGTGGAAAACGAGCTGAAAGACAGCTAACGTTAGGGTCTTCAGTAGCAACACTCCATTGAAAACACTGGGGTAAATATGTGCATATTTTGAAGACATGGCGGAGGGAAGTGGAATTTAATGCAGTGCTTCTAGTCTGGTTTGAGATCCACTTTATATGGTATATCAATCAGGCAGTGAAGATCATTGACTTTTAAAGAAATTATTGTGTATTGCAAGAAAGTTCACCGGAAGTGCTTGAGCTGACTGACAGGAAATGAGTTAGTGTGCATAATATACTGCATTCTCCTCAAAAAAATCTGACGTTACATCATTTATATTAGTAATAATATATTCACATCATAATATTGTTTTTTTACATCACAGCCTATAATAATGAAAGTATTTTCTAAAGAACTATGGACTGTTTGGACACTGTTAATATATGGCTGCATTAGACAGGCCAACATTACTATAGCCAATACTTTTAATCTGCTCTGAAACAATTATGTTAAAGCATGTGATATACATGCGATATACACTCACTGGCCAATTTATAAGGTACACCTTTCCAACTGCACGTTAACGCAAATTTCTAATCAGCCAATCGCATGGCAGCAGCTCACTGTATTTAGGCATGTAGACGTGATCAAGAGGATCTGCTGCAGTTCAGAGCGAGCATCACAGCATTTCTGAACGCACCAAAACTGGACAATAGAAGATTGGAGAAACGTTGCTGCTCTGATGAGTCTCCACTTCTGCTGACACATTCGGATGCTCGGCTCAGACAACATGAAAGCATGGATCATCCTGCCTTGTATCAGCGGTTCAGGCTGGTGGTGGTGGTGTAATGGTGTGGGGGAGATTTTCTTTGGGTCCATTAGTACCAATTGAGCATCAACGCCACAGCCTACCTGAGTATTGCTGCTGACCATGTCCATCCCTTTATGAGCACAGTGTCTCCATCTTCTGATGGCTACTTCCAGCAGGATAACGCAGCATGTCATAAAGCTCAATCATCTCAGACTGGTTTCAGGAACATGACGATGAGTTCACTGTACTCAAATGGCCTCCACAGTCACCAGAGCTCAATCCAATAGAGCAGCTTTGGGATGTGGTGGAACGGGAGATTGGCATCATGGATGTGCAGCCGACAAATCTGCAGCAACTGCGTGATGCTATCATGGAGCAAAACCTCTGAGGAATATTTCCAGTAGCTTGATGAATCTCTGACATGAAGGATTAAGACAACATTTAGTCCAACCCGCTACTAGTAAGGTGTACCTAATAAAGTGGCCGGTGAGTGTATAGTCAATCGAATCACAGCTCTTGGGTTTTCTGATCTCAGATGTGTGTGTGTGTGTGTGTGTGTGTGTGTGTGTGTGAACTAAGTGTGTTTTCCTCTGTCATCTTTCTCACATTAGCGCATTAAACTCGAGGGAGTGAATTAAAGGCGACTCTGAGTCAGTGAGCTGCAGAGTGTTCAGGAAACGGACACTTTTATTAATGAACTTCTCGTTTGACTTGTTTTCTTTAATAGGTGCGCCTGGAGGAACAGAACACACGGTTTTAGTTTTTATATCTCAGTGGGCTCCTGAATGCATACAGACTCATGGGGACTCTTGTGTGACTGTGGGGACTCATGAACGGCTCACTAATCACACAGAATGAAGTCAAATGTAAAGTGCAGGCTGTGTCCTGTGAGGGCTGGGTTAAAATAATTATTGTGTTTGAGTTGAAACATCATTACAGCTGTGGAGAGACCCGGGTCTGACTCCCGGCCGGCGCTGTAGAGGTGTTCTGTTGTGCTTCTTCCATCTCTCAGCTCAGGCAATACAGGCAATCACTGGACAAAACCTCACTTAAACAGGTTCCCATTAGACACACAGTGCTTCAGATGGATCCTGGGCTGGGCTGGGCTGGGTGCTTGTCTTGGTCTTGTTTCAATTTACCTCCTGATCTGTGGACCCCCAGATGCGGCCCCCAGAATAGGCCCACACAGACCTCCTTTATGTCCTTTCATTCCTATTGGCTGGTGGAAAGTCTCTGTGTGTGTGTGTGTGTGTGTGTGTTTAGTGTGCTTAAAGTGTGTGTGTTTTGGTGATTAGTGTGTGTGTGTTTGTTTAGCGTGCTTAAAGTGTGTGTGTGTTTTGGTGATGTGTGTGTGTGTGTGTGTGTTTAGCGTGCTTAAAGTGTTTGTGTGTTTTGGTGATGTGTGTGTGTGTGTGTGTGTGTTTAGCGTGCTTAAAGTGTTTGTGTGTTTTGGTGATGTGTGTGTGTGTGCGTGTTTAGCGTGCTTAAAGTGTGTGTGTGTGTTTTGGTGATGTGTGTGTGTTTTGGTGATGTGTGTGTGTGTGTGTTTTGGTGATGTGTGTGTGTGTGTGTGTGTGTGTGTTTAGCGTGCTTAAAGTGTGAGCGTGTTTTGGTGATGTGTGTGTGTGTTTAGCGTGCTTAAAGTGTGTGTGTTTTGGTGATGTGTGTGTGTGTGTGTGTGTGTTTAGCGTGCTTAAAGTGTGTGTGTGTTTTGGTGATGTGTGTGTGTGTGTGTGTGTGTGTGTGTGTGTGTGTGTTTAGCGTGCTTAAAGTGTGTGCGTGTTTTGGTGATGTGTGTGTGTGTGTGTGTGTGTGTTTAGCGTGCTTAAAGTGTGTGTGTGTTTTGTTGATGTGTGTGTGTGTGTTTGTTTAGCGTGCTTAAAGTGTGTGCGTGTTTTGGTGATGTGTGTGTGTGTGTGTGTGTTTAGCGTGCTTAAAGTGTGTGTGTGTTTTGGTGATGTGTGTGTGTGTGTGTGTGTGTGTGTTTAGCGTGCTTAAAGTGTGTGTGTGTTTTGGTGATGTGTGTGTGTGTGTTTAGCGTGCTTAAAGTGTGTTTTGGTGATGTGTGTGTGTGTGTGTGTGTTTAGCGTGCTTAAAGTGTGTGTGTGTTTTGTTGATGTGTGTGTGTTTAGCGTGCTTTAAGTGTGTGTGTTTTGGTGATCAGTATGTGTGTGAGTGTTTAGTGTGCTTAAACGAGTCTGTGTGTGTTTGTGTGCTTAAAAGATTGCGTGTGTGTGTCTTTAGCATGCTTAAACGAGTCTGTGTGTGTGTGTTTGTGTGCTTAAAAGACTGTGTGTGAGTGTGTGTAATGTGCAAAAAGGTGTGTGTTCAGTATGTGAATGCGTGTGTGTTTGTGTGCTTAATGGAGTCTGTGTGTGTGTTCTGTGTGTTTGTGTTCAGTGTGTGTGTTTATGAATGTGTGTGTCTGTGTGTTTGTGTTCAATGTGCATAAAGGAGTGTGTGTTTGTGTTCAGGTGTGTGTGTCTATGAATGTGTGTGTCGGAGTGTCTGTCTCTCTCTAGTGTGTGTGTGTTCAGTAAGTGACTGCGTGTGCATGTGTGTGTGCGTGCGTGCGTGTGTGTGCGTGCGTGCGTGCGTGTGTGTGTGTGTGACAGTGATGAACGAGCTGTCGTCTGGTTTCTGCTCTACAGTTGAGTCTGACCCTCCTGTCCTGCAGGAATGGTCCAGCTCAGCTCTCCCCCTGTGTTGGCGATGGTTTGATCCGCTGTAGAGAAGTCAGACGCTCAGCCTGTAGTGAAGCTCAGTCAGATGATGGAGGAGCTGCAGATGAAGATGAAGCTCTCTCTGTAGACCGTGTCTCTCCGCTGCTGCTTCACTGTAAGTCTGATCTTCATCCTCTTCTTCTCTCTCTCTGCAATATACAGCAGATCAAATGTTAGTTTGTGTTGATATGCTGGACTTTTACAGCAAACACATGCACAGCTATCAGGGAAATAATCTGATTATTTGCATTTATGATTTATAGTTGTGTGTTGTGTGGGATTAAAGAGTAAAGTGACTTAAAAATGTCTGCATGAAGTGCTCTGCCAGTTTCCTTATCTTTCACACAACGACTAAATAATAATAATAATATGGACAAGATCATTTAAAATAGGGGCAGCACGGTGGTTAGCACTGTGGCCTCACAGCAGGAAGGTCTCTGGTTTGAGTCTCGGCTGGGTCAGTTGGTGTTTCTGTGTGGAGTTTGCATGTTCTCCCCGTGTTGGTGTGGGTTTTCTCCGGGTGCTCCGGTTTCCCCCACAGTCTAAACACATGCGCTATAGGGGAACTGATCAACTACACTGGTCATAGTGTATGAGTGTGTGTGAATGTGTATGAGTGTTTCCCAGTACTGGGTTGCAGCTGGAATGGCGTCCGCTGTGTAAAACATGCTGGAATAGTTGGCGGTTCATTCCACTGTGTCGACCCCTGATGAGTAAAGGACTAAGCTGAAGGAAAACGAATGGCTGGTCTGTCAGTTTCCATAGCTTCAGATTACCACACAATGACTAAATATTATTATTAACAATAAAGACACAGACAGGATCATTTCTTATTTTTATTTAATTAATGAAATCAAATTAATCTGCACTTATTTTAGCAATATTTTAGCACTAAATTGTTTTATTAATAAAAACTTTAATTATTAATAATTCATGTTTGATTTGCATTTTTTATTTAATGCTTTATTATTTTTATTCATATGCTTTTTTTTCACTGATTTTTGATTATTTTGAGAAATGTTGTTAGTAAAATGATCTGCTTTTATTAATTGTCTATTTCTTTAAGATTTAGTATTTTTGATCTTTGCTTTTAATTTTTATATTAGTAATATTTATTATTTCAGTTGTTGTTATTATCATTATTATTATAATTATTATTATTATTATTATATTATCAGTATTATGATGTTTATTATTATTATTTTTATTATTATTATTATTATTATTATTATTATTTTATTATTATTATTATTATTATTATCAATATTATTATTTTTATTATCAGTATTATTATGATGATTATTATTATTGTTATTATTATTATCAGTATTATTATTATTATTATTATTATTTTTATTATTATTATTATTATTGTTGTTTTTATTATTATCAATATTATTATTATTAATATCAGTATTATTATGATTATTATTGTTGTTTTTATTATTATTATTATTTTATTATTAGTATTATGATTATTATTAATATTCTTATTTTTATTATCATGATTATGATTGTTGTTATTATTATTATTGTTATTATTTTTATTAATATTATTATTATTATCAGTATCATTATGATAAATATTATTATTATTGTTATGATTATTGTTACTATTGTTATTATTATGATTATTATTATTTCAGTTCGTAAAGAAAATATAGAAAATTTAGGCCCAATGTTAACACGATGCGATACTTGTACTTAACTTGTACTTGTACTAAAGCTAAAGTATAAGATGTATTGAATGCTATGCTAGTTTAATAGCATTTTACACACTTATATATAATTTCTCCTACATTATATTATCTCAAACTACTAAAATGTCAATAATGCAATTCACCACCGCAAATAAACCCAAAATACAGAAACGTGTATTAATATATAATTTTTACAGTGTACAGCACCTATCTGTTCCACCTTTTACACTGTAATAATAGTAATAATAATAATAATAATAGTAGTAGTAGTAATCAGATGTAGAAAGAGTGATCTGCAGTGCTCTGATCATTAATTCTGCCGCTGTCAGAACCAATCCAGCTTATAAAAACTGAGCGTAATAAAGTGGATCTGCGCAGAGACAGACGCTGCAGGTGTTTTATTGTGCTCATTACTGGGGAAATGGTGTATATCAGCAGGACAATGATGCATCAGTGGTGTAAGTGCACTCAGTAGTGCTCACTGTGTGACAGAGATATTAATCTGCAGCACAGATGATTAACCCGGGCCAGCAGCAGATGTGGAGGAGATCTGCTGGACTCCTGGAGTTGTGCTCAGTCTGATGCGCTGAGTCTGTGCGTGTGTGTGTGTGTGTATGTGTGTGTGTGTGTGTGTGTGTGTGTTCTTGTATTATTCAGATAATTTAGAGGATCCAGAGGATTATTGAGGAGTTTACAGCACAACATGACGGGGGTCCTGAGAGACTCCAAACACAGACTGATGAAGAGCCCTCGACACCAGCCCTACAGGTACATCACACACACTCACACACACTCGCATGCACACACACACACAAATACATTAACAGACTTGTGAACACATTCAAAGACGCAGAAACACACACACACACACAAACTCATGCACACACATACACAGGCACACACACAGACCAAAACTTACACACATTTACGGACTCACGCACACAAACACACACACATATTCACAGACTTACACACACACACACATATGCGCGCACACACATTCACAGACTCATGCACACACACACAGGCATAGTCTCTCACACACATTCTTACACAAACATACACACACAGACTCATGCTCACACACACACACATTCACAGACTCACACACTCATATACATATACACATTTACAGCGAAAGAGAGAGAGACACACACACACAGAGACTTACACACGTTCACAGACTCACACACACACACACACACACACAAACACACAGAACACATTCACAGACTCTATAACACACACATACAGACACATTCTCACACACATACACACAGACTCATGCACACACACACACACACACACACACACACACAAATACATTAACAGACTTGTGAACACATTCAAAGACGCAGAAACACACACACACACACAAACTCATGCACACACATACACAGGCACATTCACAGACTCGTGTACACACATACACACACACACACACACACACACACACACAAACACACTAAACATTTACACTCTCTCTCTTACACACATACATGCACACACACACTGACTTATGCACACACATTAAGTACATTTACACACACACACACTGAGTACATTGACAGACACACACACAGACTCACACATACACACACATACACATATATTCACAGAAACACACACACACATAGACAAATACACACAAAACAGAATCACATACGGATTTACAGACACACACACACACACCCACATGCATGCACACATTCACAGACTCAAGCCCACACACAGACTCACACTAAACGCATATAATCACACACTACGCACATGAAAGCATTGTCCCTCGCAACACACTGCACACACAAGTTGTTGAGGAGCAGTGCGGTAACGCTGGCGTCGTGACGTATGCAAGCGCTTATGATGAGAGCAGCAGACAGAACTCAATGTCCTTCCCATAATGCACTTTAAGATGTACAAGGTCTGTAATGCAGTTTCACACTCCATTTAATCTCATTTACCTTCTGCGCATCACACACACACACACACACACACACACACACACACACACACACACACATTATGAATTGTCTGAGATCTGCATAATGCTGTAGAGTGTTTCCTCCATCGTCTCCTGTGTGTGTGTGTGTCTCAGCTGGGTTATTTGCCTCTTGTTAAGTGTTTCCACACATCAGGGCTTTTCTCCTGTGTGTGGATGATCAGAAGAGCTGACGTCTCATTGGTTCTGGCCTGCGGTCAGATTGAGCTGCTGTTACTGCATTAGAGATTCAACACATTTCATCTGCATTTTAAACGCCTGCTGTAGAGCTGGAATCACACACACACACACACACACACACACACACACACACACACACACACACACACACACACACACACACTGTTGATGCATAGAAACTGATTTACAAAACATTTAAGGACTTTTAAACATTTAATTGGTATATGTCAGGGTTTGCTGTCTTCATCATTTTCATTTTCTAAAAGGGAAGCAAATCAGTCTGACTGTAAAGCGAGGTAATAGCACAGCTCTCATCCACAGGTGTAGTGCAGCAGGGTCCAGTTGCACAATGTAGATTAATGCTTGGGTTCATTTCTGATCGCTCAGCTTCAGCATAAGCGTTAGTAATAGTGACGCTGGCCTTTACCAACAGCGCTCATAAAGCGGTTCAGACACTCTGAACAGTGTTCGTGGCTCAGATGTGCAGCTGAGAGCGGGTTATTTTAGGAGCTGGATGTCAGTATGGAAAGACTCTTTTATCCCACAGTTTAGAGCAGCAGTCTGACCCGCTCTGATCCTATTGCAGACTAGTGTACATCTCGCTCAGTCACAGCCGTGAGTCATTTACAGCTCCCTATCTGAGGATCAGAGGCTCTATCGGGACTGTGTGGAATCCAGCGAAAACTGAGAGAGAGGGATAAAACAGTGGGAAAGGACCAGATATGTTGTTTGAGCAGCAGATTCAGCCTCAGAGTTTTGGAAAACACACACAGGTGATCATCACTCTACAACACAAGCACTGATGCTAACATATTTAAAGCTGCACAAGTGGAAATCAATATAGTCTTCACTTCTCAGTTGATTAGTTCTATTTCTACAGTGGTGGAGCTTTCTGATGTAGAAACAAGATGCCATCCACCCAACAACGTACATACAAACCAGTCTACTTTACTAACCAACTACAACCTACCATGCCGCTCTAACAACCAAATAACCAAACAACCAGTCAATCTAGTAGTCAATCAGTCAGTCTATCAATTAACCCGTCTACCAATTAATCTAGCAACCAATTATTCAATCAATCAGTCAGTCAACTAATCAGTTAAACAAACCAACGAATCAATTAATCAACTAACCAATCAATTAAACAAACAATGAATCAGCCAGCCAATCAATCCATAATCAATCAATTAATCAATCAACCAATTAAATCTGCCAAACAATTATTCAACTAACATACCAATCAATCAATTAGTCAACCAATCAAACAATGAATCAGTCAATCAACCCACCAATCAACCGACCAACCAACCAACCAACCAATCAATCAACCAACCAACCCACCAATCAATCAACCAACCAACCAACCAACCGTCCCACCAATCAATCAACCAACCGACCCACCAATCAATCAATCAGCCAACCAACCGACTAATCAGTCAACCAGCCAACCAATTAATCAATCAGTCAATCAATTAATCAACCAACCAATCAATTGATCAATCAATAAATACATAAAAAACCAATAAATCAATCAACCAATCAGCCAACCAAATAATCAACCAACCAACCAATCAATCAGCCAAACAATTATTCAAACAACCAACCAATCAATTTATCAACCAATCAATCAATCAACCAGCCAACCAATCGATCAATCAGCCAATCAGTTAATCAACCAACCAATCAATTGATAAATTAAATAATTAACCAATAAATTAATCAAACAATCAACCAACCAATCAACCAAACAATTATTCAACTAACCAACCAATCAATTTATCAAACAATCAATCAATCAACCAACCCCATCAATCATTTAACCAGCTAACCAAGTTATCAATCAACCAATCAATTAATCAACCAACTAACCAATCAATTGATCGATTAATCAATTAAATAAATCAACCAATCACTCATCCAATCAAACAATTAATCAACCAATCAATTTATCAATCAAGCAGTCAACCAACCAACCAACCTATCAATTATTCAACCAGCCAACCAATCAATCAATCAGCCAATTAATTAATCAACCTACCAGCCAATCAATAAATAAATCAGCCAACCAATCAATCAATGAACCAACCAAACAACCAATCAATCAATCAGCCAATCAATCAATCAGTACCAGTTAACCTACTCCACAAAGCAGCCAGTGATCAGTTTGTTTTGTGGTCAGTGTTTATATAGAGCAAATGTTATATGCAGGACACTTCATCAGTTCAGTTTTACTCCAGTGCGTGTCATTTCACCTGCATTAGCTCTGCTGTGCACAGATCGTGAACTCTCCTCCAGTAGCTCAAGTATTTGTTTAGCTCAGTGTTGTTCTCCTCACGCAGGTGCAGTCGCAGTACCCAATCTCAGCAGTTTGAGTCTGTCATACTAATATAAACCAGTACTGTTCTGTGGATTTGCTCATGCATCCAGAACCTCTGCGTTCAGTTCTGTAGACGCAGCATTTACTGGCTCCTTATTCCCCTGCTCATCTCAAATGGTCAAGTTTTGATTTTTAACTGTGCTGAAATGGCAGAACATTCCCTTCCACTCCATTACCCTCCGCTGCCGTGATCCCAGTTCATTTCCACTCAGTCTGAATCAGTGAGTGTGAATTACCTCAGGGGGAGACGGATCATGTCAGACTGGTGAAGGTTTCTCATTTACCGCCGTGTGTCCTGCAATGACTTACAGTTAAGCAGCAAACAGATGCGCTAATGATGCCGCAGATGAGCAGCTACAGTCATGCATCAGAATAATCCTGTATTTCCCTCATGATGTCTTTATTGCTGTCTTTGTGGAGCTGATATTCAATAATTCAGTATATTGTGAGAATGAGCATGCACTGTTATTTAAACATTGCAGTGGCGTTCACAACAGCAGCGAATGCGTTGCTTAATTAGCATAATAGTGCAAACATTACATTTTCTATGCAGTAAACCAACAATCAACCAACCAATCAGTTAGTCAATGCAGCAACATAAGCCCATACCCTAGCGTGTGTGTGTCCCGATGTGCATGAATGAGTGTTGCTAAAGTGCGTGCGTCGTATGGAGCGTTTGATTCAGACGTGTTCCCCTCTGTGCGCCGTCACACAGAGACTGAACTCTGGATAATGAAGCTTGTCTGAGAGATCAGCCTGTCACTTTGGAAGAAAATCTCATTAGTTTTAGGAGACCTCTCTGTGTGACGCCTGAACCCATTTCCTTCAGTGGACAGAGAACGTGTTAGCGCTGTGGCTGTGCAGTTGTGTGGTTAGCGCACATGCTATACACACATCATACATCATACAGTCACATGTTATGCTATTTAGACATGAGTTTCACATGAGAATGCTCCAACATCACACATTTCACGCTGGACGGATTATTGTGTTTTCATGTGTTTCCGCTTATTTCATATTATGCTGCACGTGTGTTTTATAAATATTCTTCGTAATTCACTTTTGACATGTTCCACAAGTGTTCCATGTGTGCTTTTTGTGTTCCACGTATTTCATAGTTTATATTTGTTCCATAAATGTTCTTCATAGTTCACATTTCACATGTTCTACATATTTAATGTTTTTTTTTACATGTTCCACATATTTGAGACGTTTCGGGTTTCACAATTGTTTAACATATTTAACGTTTTGCATGTTACACAAGTGTTTCAAGCATTTATTATGTTTTACGTGTTCCACATATTTAACGTTTCACATTTTACGTGTTCCACGTATTGAAGGTTTAAGTGTTCCATGTATTTAACGTTTACGTGTTCCACGTGTTTAACATTTTACGTGTTCCACGTATTTAAGGTTTAAGTGTTTCACGTATTTAAAATTTTTACGGTTCCACATATTTAACGCTTACATGTTCCACGTATTTAACATTTTACATGTTTCACGTATTTAAGGTTTACGTGTTCCACGTGTTTAACATGTTTTACGTGTTCTACAAATTTAACATTTCACCAGTTTCAGGTATTTAACGTTTACATGTTCCACGTATTTAACATTTTACGTGTTCCAGATATTTAACATTTTAACGGTTCCACATATTTAACGCTTACATGTTCCACGTATTTAACATTTTATGTGTTCCACATAATTAAGGTTTACGTGTTCCATGTGTTTGGCATGTTTTACGTGTTCTACGTATTTAACATTTTACCAGTTCAACATATTTATTGTTAACATGTTCCACGTATTTAACATTTTACGTTTTCTACAAATTTAAGGTTTAAGTGTTCCACAAATTTAACGTTTACGTGTTTCACGTGTTTAATATTTTACGTGTTCTACAAATTTAACATTTTACCGATTTTACGTATTTAATGTTTACATGTTCCATGTATTTAACGTTTACATGTTCCATGTATTTAACGTTTACATGTTCCATGTATTTAACGTTTATGTGTTCCAAGTATATAAGGTTTTACACGTTCCACATATTTAACCTTTACATGTTCCACGTATTTAACATTTTAAGTGTTCCACATAGTTAACATTGACATGTTCCACATGTTTACTGTTTACATGTTCCACATATTTAATGTTTACATGTTCCACGTGTTTAACGTTAACTTGTTCCACGTATTTAACGTTTACATGTTCCACGTATTTAACATCTTAAGTTTTCCACGTATTTAACATTTGACATGTTCCACATATTTAACGTTTACATGTTCCACGTATTTAACATTTTAAGTGTTCCACATAGTTAACATTGACATGTTCCACATATTTAATGTTTTACATGTTCCAGATAATTAAAATTGACATGTTCCACGTGTTTAACGTTTACTTGTTCCACGTATTTAACGTTTACATGTTCCACGTATTTAACATCTTAAGTTTTCCACGTATTTAACATTTGACATGTTCCACATATTTAACGTTTACATGTTCCAAGTGTTTAATGTATACGTGTTCCACGTATTTAACGTTTTACGGGTTCCACGTATTTAACATTTGACATGTTCCACAAATTTAACGTTTACATGTTCCAAGTGTTTAACGTATACGTGTTCCACGTATTTAACGTTTTAGGGGTTCCACATATTTAACGTTTACATGTTCCAAGTGTTTAACGTATACGTGTTCCACATATTTAACGTTTTACGGGTTCCACGTATTTAACATTTGACATGTTCCACATATTTAACGTTTACATGTTCCAAGTGTTTAACGTTTACGTGTTCCACGTATTTAACGTTTTAGGGGTTTCACATGTTCAACGTTACATGTTCCACGTATTTAACATTTTATGTGTTAGACAAGTAGTCAGAATCTGCCTGTCGTTAGCTTCGCAGTGTGTTTCAGCTCATTGACCTGTTGTTCATTTCCAGGGTTTTCGATTATCAGCATGTTCCGAGTGCGGCGGGTGATTTCGCATCTTTACGGCGGTGTTCGTCTTTTTCTTCATCCTCCAAAAGCCTGTGGTCCAGCAAAGAGAGAGCGCAGAGCAGACACTCGACCAGGAGCACAAGATCACAGCGTAAGAGCACACACACACACAGTGGTTTAAGGTTACTCTGTTGCCCCCTTGAGGTCTGGAGTTTGCCTCAGAAATGTGAGTGATGCAGGTGTTTATGCTGCAGTTTCCGCATGTCTCCTGTATTTCGTACCGCAGGATTGTGTTTGTTTGTGTATATAATAGTGTTTTCGTGAGCGTGTATAACTTTGAGCGCCTCTGCTGTGAAACTCCAGATGGTTTCTTCATTAACATCCTCCCTCCGCTACAGGACAAATCCCTCAGTAATCAAACCTAGCCTATCACCAGAAGCAATTATAGCAAATTAATAGTGCATAACCAATAAGAAGTGTTTATAGTGCTTTATTACAAGCCCTAATAGGTTTTACTGCCGGCGGATCACAGTAGAATGAGTTTGCCTTTGTCGCTGCGAGGTCAAAGCACTCTTTAATGGCCGCCGCTGAGCTGGAATGGCTTTTTTAAATCCAGCTGGGATTGGGGGGGGGGGGGGGGTGTTCGGGTCGTGTTTTCATGCTGTGGGAAACAAAAACCAGTCCAATCAAAGTTTCCTTCATTAGTGACGCCAGAAGAGTTGCTGATATCAGGGCATGGAATTAATCTGTGGACTATTTAGTTCTTTTTCGAACAAGTTTAAAGCTTAAGTGTGTCGTGTTGATGCTGAACAGAGCATTGTAATAATGACATAATCAAAAAGTCAATGTTACTTCAACTTATTTTAATCCATTAATCGAGTCTCAGCTTTATTTTTTAAGTTATGCACATTTTACCTTGTTTTAAGCCATTTAGTTGATGTATGTTGATGTGACTTGTACACTAAAATTGAAGGCAGCAATACATTATTACACTGTCGGCACTTACATAGTGGATCAGCCAATGGTGTGAGTTTGGGGCGGAGCTACATCTCAGTGATGTGTGAGGGGCGGGGCAGAAGAGTAAGGTTGGGAAACCTGTGTGTTCTGATATTGTTTGTTGTGTGGTTTGTGTTGTGATGCTGTGTGTTTTGTGATGTGTGTTTTCATGTTGTGTGTGTGTTGTTCTGTCTGCAGTGTGTCTGGAGGAGCTGGTGTGTATTAGGAAAGAGCTGACGGTCATTAAGTCTCAGATCGACGAGCTGCTGGAGAGTCTGGAGCGGATGGAGAGTCAGGAGCAGCAGACCTGCGGTAAACACACTTTCTGTGTGTGTGTGTGTGTGTGTGTGTGTGTGTGTCTATCTACGTATCTACATGCATGGTTCTCTGTATGTGTGTGTGTGTGTGTTCCTCAGAGGACGGTGTGGTGTATTCTCCTGCTCTTCATGGCTCTGTCAACAGTGTGGATTCGTCTGGATCTTCTTCTCCCTCGAGGACAGACAGAGAACCACAGAGAACACACACAGAAGAAGAAGACAGACCAGATGTAAACACAACACAACACAAACACAACTGACCGCCAACTATTCCAGCATTAGTTTTACACAGCGGATGTCCTTCCAGCTGCAACCCAGTACTGGGAAGCACCCATACCCACTCATTCACACAAACTTATACACTACGGCCAGTGTAGTTGATCAGTTCCCCTATAGCGCATGTGTTTGGACTGTGGGGGAAACCGGAGCACCTGGAGGAAACCCACGCCAACACAGGGAGAACATGCAAACTCCACACAGAAACACCAACTGACCTAGCTGAGACTCAAACCAGTGACCTTCTTGCTGTGAGGTGATCGTGCTGCCCACTGCGCCACCGTGATGCCCTATATCTATATATATCAGACAGAAGAACACACACACATAACATGTTGATGGAGGAAAACACACACACATAAAACACAAACACATAACAGACAAAGATAACCCCCACACACACACACACACACACACACACACACAGATAGAGTAAAACACACACACACACAGAGGAACACTGATTTAATCAATGATAGGCAAAATCAATCAGTCACAGTTTGACCAATCTACAAACGATACCTGTTGCTGCTGTTACGCCTCAGGTGTGTGTTATTCTCCAATAATTCAACAACCCAGAGTGTATTACACTGATTATACCACAGATTATACACAGCTCCATCAGCGAATCACAATCAAGCATTCAACACTGTAGCGTAAACACAAATAACTGCCATTTTAAGAGAGTGTGTGTGTGTGTGTGTGTGTGTGTGTGTGTGTGTGTGTGTGTGTGTGTGTGTGTGTGTGTGTGTGTTTACCAGGTTAATGAAGATGAATCAGATTTGTTCTACATGTAGTGTGTTTTCAGGTACGTCTGAATGAGTAACTTAATAATAATAATAATAATAATAATAATAATAATAATAAATGTGTGTGTTTATTCTGAGTATTTACTTTTCCTTTCATTTCAGACATGGTGTGTTTTGGGAAAGCTGATGGTGTGAAGAAGAGATGTTTGATCTGGTGGAAGATGAATGATGTGTGTTATGATGATGATGATGATGATGATGATTTGAGCTGTTCTGTGATGGCCTGATGGCGTCACACTCATTCACATCATCAGTTTCTGCTTTGGCTCCACTTTGATTATTTGTGTGTTTCCATGCTCTGTTTATGGCTCGACTGATATGGGTTATTAAACACCGGCTGCCAATAACACTATCTAAATATAACTTCATCAGCCTGATTTATTAAAAATGACACATGCTTCAGATTTATGACCCACACACTGCTTATTTAACCCAAATGTAAACAGACACAACCACTGGAGCCTACCTCAGTTTTTAACTAGATTTTGTGTGTGTGTGAAAGCAAGTCACATGTATATAGTTACATATCTGACTTTATTCATCTGTTTAGTCATTTTATTATGGAAAAAGTTGGTTCTGAAACTGTTTTTTAGAGTTCTGGATAAACTAGTTGCATGTTAGTTCAGTTTAGCAGTGATAAGCCCTCCTGTGAAATGTTTTTTTTATTTATTTCTTATTTTCCAAGTGATGTTTTCCAACACGCGTTTAAACATAAAAGCTTTAATAACTAATTTCTGATAACTGATATCTCTTGTCTTTGCTGAGATGACAGAACATAATATTTTACTAGATATTTTACAAGATACTAGTATTCAGATTAAAGTGTGATTTAAATGCTAGGCTAATTAGACAGGTCATTGACATCAACATTATATTGATAATAATACTGACTTTTTTTTACATGTATATATATATATATATATATATATATATACATACACACAATTGAAGAATATAATAGAAAATAGTGTGAAACATTGGGAAATATCTAGAAAAGAACTAAATATTTCACAGGAGAGCGAATAGTTGTCTTCAACTGTGTGTAAAATACCATTGAATGCTTTAATTAGGTTTCTGTATGTGTTCATCAACAGAAATAAACATTGATGTATGTGTTTTTTATCTAAATGCGATAACAGGCTTGATACATGTTTTGTACAAGGCATCATCTATAACCGTTATGGTTTTTGGTGCTCATTTTAACCATTAACTACCTGTTCATTTTTAACTAAATGATCTGCTCGGCTTATCCTCCAATTCAGCTGCTAAATCCACCGATGAGTTGTTTGATCCACGTTATTTGTCAGGATTTTGTTCTCAGACTGCTCCTGTGTGTTGCACTAGTTTCCTCCACATCTCCTCGAAAGCCTTCTGTTGTGTTCTGATGTGTTTTTGCACTGTTGTAGTAGCCATAGACATTATATAATAGAGGTTTACTCTGCTATGATCTAAACAGCTCCATTAAGCAAACCGTTCGGATGACCGGATTAAGATGGCGGCGGCATTGACGTACCATCCAGCGGTTAATTTAAAAAATGACTTTCGGCCAATCAGAATCAAGTATTCAACGGCTTCGTAGGACTATGTTAGCGAATGTGTCTTTTGTAGGAATCTGTGAGTCTGTAAAGCTCTTTCTGACCGAGTTTCATGTGTTTTCCAATAAAATGGAGGCTGAAGTCATGGCTGAAGTGCATCTGTGCTCGAGCTGGACTTATTTACTCTGTTTTTCCACCTCTATGTAACGCTATAATCCTCAGAGCTGATTCTGATCTCTGACTCTGAATTTCTGTCGTGTTAAAGATTAACTGGCGGTTTGTTTTGTTGATGAACTCATTGAAACTGATCAAACAGTGCTGATCCTCATATAAACAGCAGGAGCACGCGCATTTACTCACAGCACTGACGACTCTCAACAGGTAAGAGGTTTACATATTCATTATTTCAGAGCTGTATTACTTTCAATCATGTTTAAAAGCAACATGAACATTTGGGCTCTAATATTACACTAGGTTTCTCATTGTAAACACTATTGCTTCATTTTAAATAGACCTAAAACATGTGCCAAAATAACTCCTTGTTTGAATCAAGAAGTGCCCTCAAAAGATTCTTTTTGATCAATTTTAATGCTTCTTCAGTTTAAATGAATAGAAATTAAGTTAGCAAATTGTTAATCTAGTTTATCTTTTCTACATTGAATGATTTAAATGTTTATAAAAGCTCAAACAAGAGCTTTAAAGTCCAGTAAATGACATATGTGCATGATTTAAAATATATTTTTGATGTTAACTTTACAGTTCACATTATTTGTTAAGTAATTAATTGTATTTTACAGTGTATTTTGTTTTAAGGACAACACATTCTGTTGCCTTTATTAAAATCAACAACAATTAAACGAAAACTGTGTTGGACTGCACTCTATAAAATAATATAGATGTTATTTCAACACAGTTTTTGCTACTAAAAATGCTTGATTATTTTTTTAGAATCAGATTTAACCCAAGATTTGAGTTTGTCTATATTTTACCTATTAGCTATTGACTTCATTAGACCTCATTGACAACCAATCAAAACAAACCAAATCCAGTCATATGAGGACTAAATTTTGTGGAGCCTTCAAATTTTTTGACATCAAGAACCATTGGAAAATATGTATTTTAAATGGATGTTAATAAATTGTTAATGTGTGTGTGTAGCGATGTCTTCAGCATCAGACATCAGTCCTCTGAGCACACACGTGCTGAACACCGGCGATGGGGTCCCGGCTCAGAGGATGACCCTCAGTCTGCACCGGCTGGAGCCCCGCATCACCGTCTGGAGCCTCGTCACCGTCGGGTCCGTACACACACACACACACAGCCACTGTCTCTGTTTATTTTTTCAATAAAGAAATTATTTTCATACAGTAATTGCAATTTAGATCTTTTTTCAGATCAAATGTTAGTATTTTTGTTAATATTGTGTGTTTTTAAAGTGCTGTAATATAGGGACGTCTTCAGGACCCCAAAAACAACTTTACTAAATCCAAAACTGTTGTTAGAGAATGTAAACGGTCAGAAGTGTTTGAAGATTTACTGTGTGTGTGTGTGTGTGTGTGTGTGTGTGTGTGTGTGTGTGTGTGCAGGAGCACGAATGAGGACGGCCGCTGTCCAGGCCTGATCAGCAGAGACGCCTTCACTCCAGGAATGTACAAGATGCGCTTCGAGACGCAGCAGTACTGGGAGAGTCTGGGTCAGTCCAGCTTCTACCCCTATGTGGAGGTCTGTGCAGCAGAACAGGGCTTCTTTAGTGCACTGTCACATTACTTTACTAGTTCCTTTACAGTTAGCATGAAGCTGAAGTCAATATTTTTTTACTAAGTCAATATTTTCCTGCTTTTGTGATGTACATCCAACTGAAATGGTCCTAAATGAGAGTAAAATGTAGGGTGTTGCGTGATTTCATCTTTTGGGAATTGATTGGATTGTTGGAAGATGGCCGTTGCTAACAAAATGAAGAGAGATTGATGAATGGATGAAAGCAGGAAAGAAATGAGACGCTGACTTATAGCCCCGCCCTGAATGACTGATTGCCCCGCCCTACAGGACAAATAGCCCCGCCATAAAAAGGTGATAGGCCTGCCAGGAATAATGGCCATGCTTTAATGCACTGGTAGCTCCGCCCTAAAGGCCTGATATCCCTCCCCCAAAGGACTGATAACCTTGCCCCTGAAGGACTGAAAGACCAAAGCTAAAGGACTGATAGACCATAGCTAAAGGACTGATAGCTCCGCCCTAAAGGACTAATAGCCACGCCCTAATGCACTGATAGCACAGCCATAAAGGACTGATAGCCACGCCTTAATTGACTGATATCTCCACCCAGAAAGACTGATAGCCCCACCCTAAAGGACTGGTAGCTCAACCCTAAAAGACTAATAGCCCTGCCCTAAAGTATTGGTGGCCCCGCCCCTAAATGACTGATAGCTACTCTCTAAAGGACTGATAGCTCAACCCTAAAGGACTAATAGCCCTGCCCTAAAGTATTGATGGCCCCAACCCTAAAGCACTAACCCTAACCCTGCCCTGAAAGAATTATAGCTCCGCCCTTAAAAAACCCTCCCTAAAGGACTGATTGTTCCAGCCTAAATGCCACATAGCCCTGCCCTAAAGAATTGAGAGCCCCACCCTAAAGCACTAATAGCTCCACCCTAAATGAGGAATAGCCCCATCCTAAAGTATTGATACCCCGCCCCTAAATGACTAATAGTGCACCCTACAGGAGCGATAGTCCCACCATAAAAGACTAATAGCCCCGCCTCAATGCACTAATATCCACATCTTAATTGACTGATGGCTCCACCCTAAATGATGATAGCGCTGCCCTAAAGTATTGATACCCCGCCCCTAAATGACTAATAGTGCACCCTACAAGACGATAGCTCCGCCATAAAAGACCAATAGCCACGCCTTAATGCACTGATAGCTCCGCCCCTAAATCACAGATAGCCCCATCCCTAAAGCACAGATAGCCCCGTCCTACAGGACTAATAGCTCCACCCCTAAAGCATAAATAGCCCCGCCCTACAGGACTGACAGCTCCACCCCAAAGGACCAATAGCTAAAAAGATGGAAGATTATAAGGGCGAATGAACTTTTAATAATGAAGTGTACAGGTACATCATTTATAACAGGTACATGCAAATAAGAGGAGTAAATTCTGATTTCATGGTGACTTTAAATAAGTAATCTGCTTTTGTTGCTTGCACCACATTACCTCAAACACCATCTATAGTCACAGAGGAACGTCACTCAGCTCTTCTTCTTCTTCCAGATCATCTTCACAATAACAGACGTGGATCAGAGGCTTCATGTGCCGCTGCTGATCAGCAGATTCTCCTACAGCACATACAGAGGCAGCTGAGATGACAAGCACAGGGCCGCATTCACCAAACATTTTCCTATATGAACCTGTGTACAGACAAACCGAGTAAACAGAGAACAGTCTGCAGCTGAGTGGGGGCGGGGTTTACTGCTTTTCTGTGAGTGATGTCATAACACAGAGAGGGGGAGGAGCCTCTGATAGATTTGATTCATTGAAGTAACAGAGCCCAATTTTAAGTTTCCTTATTCAAATAAACGAGTCAACATCCGAATACTGCCCTGTTTAAATAAAGATTTTAAAATGCAGATTAATTGCACTGCAAAAGTATGTTCCTTGCTTTTAATGTTTTGGACATTCTATAAACATTGTCTTGCAGTGTTAAGTTAGTGTATTTTCTTAGGAGATAATTGACTATATTTTCATTTATTCTCCTCTGTTTAATTTAGAAGCTACTTTAATTCTAAGATGTTTTGTAAGAGCGAGCTCAGTCTATTACACACCACAGCGTTACTTTCTGAATGGACATTTAAATGTAATATTTGGATTTATTATTTTCATTCTATAAAAATAAAGTTTTATGAACACAATTTAGTGTTTGTTGAAGTCTTGGCTTTATTATTCATTCATATAACAAATTTCAAATCCTTTTGTAACAAAAATACTCAAATCAATTACATGCACACATTGAAATATATTTAATGCATCAAATATTCTCTATAATGCATGCATGAATCCAGCTAAAATGATTATTTATAAATATTTGTTAACATCTCTGTGTACTTTAATCTTGCTGGCTGCCTAGATCAATAAACGATTGGCTTTATGAGCAATTCTGTACCATGTTTGGTGATTAAATGATTATTAATGAAGATACCTGCTGTAAATGTTTAGTTATAGGAATAATGTTGAAAAGAAAGCCATCAGTGTGATGATGTTTGTTTTTAACGGCTGATTTATTTCTGTTTAAAGAGTGTTTTACATTAATTCGGGAAAATGTCACCGGAGTTCTCAGAGGGACAATGCTGAAATGAAATTTTAATTAGAACCTCAAAGTTCAAGAGTATTTGTTCATTACATGACATTATTAGAGGAGAAAAGGCACACCCAGGCTTGAGACTTGTTAGACTGAAGATATTTCTGCAAATCTGGTGTGTTTGTTTAACATTAGTTTAATCAAAATTAAGGAGGCCGTACAGGATATTATATTTAGTCTATTTCTTTTAAGGTTTTTAAGTAATTAATTAACTTATATGTTATTATTTTTATGCTATGATGAACACACTGGAATGTAAAGATGTGTAAACCTATAGTAAATGTCTGTATGCACGATCAGACTAAACAAGGAGTTTTTGATTAATAAAATAAATAATATCTGAAAGTTGCAATGTCACTCATTTTAAAAACTCTAATCAACTTTTCTGAATATTTGTGAATTTTACCGTAAATCTAGTCGAGTTTCAAGCAGATTTGTCTGTTTTATTAAACATACTTATTTTTATCTTCACCTTTGTGATATTTAACACACAAACATACTCGCGACAATTACATTAACATGAGAGGAAGTATGTTAACAGCGTACAATCACAGTTATACGGTTGCCAGGTGTAAAAAAAAAGCTAGAGATTATGATGATGTGTGATTTATTACATAATCTGCATCAGGTGAACCAATATCCATCGCGTGACGTCATCAGCGGCCTGAACGAGCAGCTCTTCTCCAGTCAGACGGACGCGCGCGCGGTAAGTGTTTGTCGAATTTAACGCATGAACGAAGATTATTTTTGCACTTCGCACGATTTATTTGCTTGATATATCTCCTGTGTAACGATTTATAACTGTACCGGTCGTTAAAAGCGGTAAAGTTGACGTTTCTCTGTTGTCTTTCACGTTCTACTATATCTACTGCGCATGTGCTGCTTTTGATAACGCGCGAATCTTCCTTAATTATAGATGGAGAAATACTGTATTCATTATTATACAGAAGCTATAAGACTGATGAAGCACTATTCCTACCTTTCAAGGTTATATTACATCGTTTACTTCAGTATAAGACATCGAAAATGAAATCAACCGAATAACTGAACGAGTCATTGAATCACTGGTTCAACCGATTCGTTCAAAAAGAATCACTCGCGATTGAGGAGTGAAGTCGGCGTGTCGTCGGTCATGTTGTGGGTTTTCCTGGACGCCAGACAAAAACATGTGATATAATATTCCGTAAAATGTAGGTAACTTAATATTAACTTGGTTTATATACCGTTAAATGTTGTTTATCATGTCACCTTATGACTTTCTTAGGAACAACGCTGTTTGCTAACGTCAACATTCATAGATATTTATAAGGTCAACATTGTTAACGTTAGTTCACAAGATTTCTTTCATGCTAATTTCTCATTATTGCTCAGTTTTAGTTGGTTTTATTTGTTTAACTAACAACTGAATTCATTTAAAGTTCTCTTTATTTGTTGTGTAACATATAAACAGACGCTTCTTCAACTCTGCAGGTCAGATATCCACAGTAAGTTAATAAGTTAGCTGAGTGCGTTAATTAGGTAATGAAGAAAACTAACTTGCTGGAATCTATTAAACATGCTGTATGAATTGAGAACAATACACAAACTATTCAGAAAAGTGTCTGAACCATTACCTACTGATAAAGAGAAAGGTCATGTCATTTAATAATGAATACACGACTGGACTTTAATGCAGATAGTCTTGTGTAAAAGTAAATGCACCCAAACGTTTCTTATGATTGCCTGTCATTTTTTTTCTAAGTTATTGGACGGTCTAATAGTTCTCTCATGAAAACATTTTTCAAGTAATGCTATTATTTCACACCACTGTGCTCCAGTTCTGCTCCATAAGCTTCCATTATATTTGTTATGTTGATTTTTAAGTGAAGTATGAGCTTTATAATGCGTTTTGTCATCTTATTTTTCACCCTTTTGCAGATTTTAGAAATTGGAGATGCTGGAAATACAAATAATCAAGGTAGAGCACAACATACTGCAGTTTTGTAATGTATGGGGTTCCTACAGATGTTGTAGTGTATATTGTTTGTTTACATGGTAAACATTTATATCACATGGTTTATTTTAGGCAATTTTAATGTGATTTTGCATAATCCTTTATATAATATAAACTTTTACATTGACATATTTGAAGAACATGTTTATTTATCTAATGCAAGTTAAATAAATTGATAGATGCGTATATATTTTTTTGTATTTTATATATGTTTTATTTTATATATATATATATAAACAATATTCATATACAGCGAATACAAACACGATATCCAAATACAAATTTGGATGTGATAAATAGTTTGGCAGCACTTGTAATAAGTAATAATCCAATAGAGGTTTCAGTGTGATCATGGCTCTGGCGTTTTATGACGGAGGAATTGAATGTTTTCCGTGTTTCAGATCGAGGACCCGGGCTGTCTGTGGGCTCGAGTTCTGAAGGGTCCAGGCCTGCAGGTGGTCAGTCCAGAGGAATACGAGAACCTGAAGGTCAGAATGAACCTTTTCTATCATGAGGTCGACCTGGATGTTCAGAAACTGAAGCCTTCGGAGCTGAAAGAGGGACTGGTATGTCATATATGTACAACAACCTCATGTCTGTGTGCTTGTTGCAGTGCGTAATGCAGCGGTTTAGGAAAGCAAATTTTAAAAAGATCTAACTACATTAAAAATAGTTGCCGGTTAAAAATATGTATAAAGAAAAATAGCATTTCTCCAGGGAAATGTTATATCAGAAGAAATATCGTTATTCAATATCGCTTGTTTTCCCAGTATCGTGCTACTTGCGCATTGCAGGTTAAGATGGATGGGTAGCAAAATGATTGTTTTAATAGGCGTGTGTGTGTGTGTGTGTGTGTGTTCTGCAGGTGTGTGTGGTGTTCAGCGTGGCCCTGAAGAGCTGGTGTCGAGCTATTGTTGAGTCCGTCCTGCAGGGGGTGCTGGACACTCAGGCCTGGTGTCTGTTAGTGGACTACGGAGACCGCATCATCGTTAGGGAGGACGAGTATGTTTCCGCACTAACGTTTGAAATTTCACTCGCATGTAAAGATTTATAGCAGTATTATTATGGATTATATGATCTGGCATACCCCTACTCCTCATTCTTGTGTGTGTTTCGTCAGCGTCAGGACTCCGCTTGAGAAGTTCCTGCTGCTTCCCTTCCGTGTGCGGCGCTTCAGGCTGGCCGCCGTTCGTCCTATGACACTGCAGGTGCCGCTCTCTGAGGACACGGCCGAGCTGGTGTACGTCTCAAGCTGCAGAAACACTCTCTCTTGATCCGAATCTCTGTTCATCTGACGCTCTGTTTGTGTCTGTCTCAGGCCGTCTGCATCGTGGGACAGCTCCGCCACTAAATACCTGCTCAACCTGCTGCAAGGTAAACACCAGCTCGCATTATAGAGGTGGATTCGCGTGATGGGCAGGGCTTCTGTCTGCCCAAAGACTCTAGCTTCATAGCTAAATGGCTAACATGGATTTTATTAAGAAAATAACAGTGTTTATGTGCTTTATGAAGACTGAGAAACAGCGTCGATGCGTTTAGGGTCGTGTCTGAGTCCACTACATCCTTTCAGAGGTGCATCCAACTGTGTAAGCTCATAAGCTCCTCCAGAAACTGAACCTGGATGACGGAGGCTTTTAGCGGTGCTTCTGACTGAGCCAAGCCCAGTTTGATGAACTGTTCTTCGTCACAATCACGCCCCCACAAGAGCAAGCTTCTGATTGGTTAACGCGGTGCGAATGTCCGCTAAAGTGCAGATTTTCGAACTCGAGATTTGTGCAAAACGCTCGTAAAGCACGTCAAACGCACAAAACGTTCAATTCGCCCCGTGCCATTCGCGCAATTTGCGTCATTCGCACCGCGCCATTCGCGCGTATCGCGCCACAGGATGTCAATTCGCGCGTTTGCATTGACTTAACATGTAAATCACTCGCGCTTGACGCTTTCCGCGTCTGGTGTGAACGCAGCATGAGAGGCTGCTGTAGATATTCACACACTGCTGACACACAACTGCATGTTTAAACCCCACATTAAAGTCTTTTCTGCATAATAAGTCCCCTTTATGTAACTTTGTAAACCAAGTAGGCCTATTAATGAATCAAAAGTCCGACTGTTGGTTAGCATAACATGAAAATTCCTAAATCTGGCATGATATTGCGAATATATTTGATAATATTGAAGTGTGTGTGTGTGTGTGTGTGTGTGTGTGTGTGTGTGTGTGTTTCAGTGTCGACTCTGGTTGAAGCCGTTCTCTGTGAAACACAAGACGACTGCTCCTCCATCGAGCTCTACCTGACCATCAATAATACCAAGGTAAAACATCCGTGTTCAAGCCCAGAGCGCTGGTTTTTGGAGCAATCCCATCTAAGAGCTGATCTGCTTGGGGTTTTGCAGATCTGTGTGAACCATGAGCTGGTGGCCAAGAAGTTTGCGTGTTTCGTGAGCGATGCGGACGGCAGCAGAAGCACAGATCGGGCTCCGGTCAGTCTGGCGTGGGATATTTACTCCAGTCCTCATCAGCTGCTGGAGATGAAGGGCTGCTGCCCGCTCAGAGCTCCGCCCCCGGACACGCCCACCAGAAAGCAGCGCACAGACCACACACACACAGGTCAAGCTGGATGTCAAGAGCTCACTCACGACACTTCTGTTTAAACATATTCACACTTTTATTTAACATTTTTATAATTTTTTTTTATCAGTGCTGAGCAAAAGTTAAAGGTGCGGCATGTAGGCATTACCTATCGTAATTATCGGCCCCAAAATTTTTAATTAAACTTTTTTTGTTGTTGTCATTTGTCATACCCAGAATATAAAACTGCATATGAATACATTTAGATCATTCATTTTCCTTCGCTTAGTCCCTTATTCATCAGAGGTGGCCACAGCAGAATGAACCGCCAATCATTCCAGCATATGTTTTACACAGCAAATGCCCTTCCAGCTGCAACCCAGTACTGAGAAACACTCATACATGCCCATTCACACACACCTAACATGAACAAAAGCTGTAATAAGTGTATTATTCATTGTTCATGTTAGTAAATGCATTCACTAAAATTAATACAATATTGAAAAGTGTTACCCAAAATTGTTTTGAACATTTTTATTTTTATGTATGTGTATGTATCACATGTACATAATAAATATATAACATACACACACGCACATAAATGTTGTCAAAACAAAGTTTTATTCTGGATGTGATTAATATCTAGGACTGCCCTGGTTGGGTCAGTTGATGGTTCTGTGTGGAGTTTGCATGTTCTCCCCTTAATGGCGTGTGTTTCCCCTACAGTCCAAACACATAGGGGAGAACTGGGTAGGTGAAATTGTCCGTAGTGTATGTATGCGTGTGTGATGTTTCCAAGTGTTGGGTTGCCGCTGGAAGGGCATCCGCTGTGTAAAACATATGCTGGATAAATGGTGGTTCATTCCGCTGTGTTCCGACCCCAGATTAATAAAGGGACTAAGCCGAAAAAAAGATGAATGAATGAATACTAACGATTAACCTTTGCCCAGCACTAAAATTTTGGTAAATTATGTTTTGTGTGTGTTTGTGTTTATTGATATGTATACAGATGCAGATATGCTTTGTCAAATGAACTTAATTTAATCTGTGGATACCTTTTTTTTTTTTTTTTTTTTTTTAAATGATTTATACATTTATTCCCACGTTTTTTTTGTGTGTGGGTAGTGAAGAATTAGTTTGCATAAAAAAATTATTTATTTAAAAAAAAAAAAAAAAGTTGTTTTGAAATTTTATTTGCAAAAAAAACTAACTTAAAAAATATGCATTTTTTATATCATGTTTTTTATTATGTATTGAAGAGCTAATTTGCATAAAAATTATAATAATGAATAAAGATATATTTGTTTTTGCTAGAGCTAATTTACCAAAACACAACTTTTTAGTGTATTTTTTAGTATTCAAAAACTAGTTTTTAAAAAATATTGCATTAATCTGTTTATTTGCAATAAAAACATGATTTATATACAAAACTTAAAGATAATATATAAAGATTTATAAAGAAATTGTTATGTTTATGTAAATTAGCTTGAGTTCATTTACCTAAGCAACCTTTTTAATCGTTCATTTTCATAGATAGTTTTTTTATTATGCATTGAAGAGTTAATTAGCATTATAATAAGATGATTTTTAAAAAAATAATAAAGATGGAGTTGTTTTTGTAAATCTTGAAGGTTTTATTTTCAGATATATATTCTTTTTATATACTGATGAGTACATTTGCATTAAAAAATGTTTATAAAAAAAGAAATATGGAATTATTATCTAAATATTTACAAAATTAAATGCGCTAAACTAAATGAGCTGAATATAAAAAAAAAACTAATTAATGACATGACCAAATGTGATATACTATTAACAATATTTGAGTGCTATTGTTAATGAATAAGTAACAATGTAAATAAATGTCAATAATTGATCATAACACATTAATATTTGCAGAAAAGAAAGATTGGTAATAATACACAGTCACATATAAAATGTTGAGTTTGTCTTTCAGAAGCAGAGCAGCAGAAAGCAGAAGCAGCAGAGGAAATACACACACCGTCTGTGGGGAAACCTCAAGTGCAGAAGCTGCGCCGTAATCCTGGAACATATACTGTACGTGTGTTTATATTCTGTGTGTGTGTGTGTGTATACTGTGGCCGTCTGTGTGTTTATTTATTTATTATTTGTGTGTTTATATACTGTGTGTGTAATGTTCTTGTCTGTGGTCTTTCTCAGATCGGCAGAGGATGGAGGATCCGAGCTGAAGCCACTGACCTCTTCACTGCTCAGATTCACCACAGTAAATCACAGTAAGAGCTCATCACATGTCTGCCCTTCATTCTAATGCCAGACTTATTGAAAATCATTTGATAATGATATAATTAACTGGCCAGCATGATGTTTTATACTAAAAATCAACATATATATATATATATATATATATATATATAGACGGTTTAGTAACTAGTAAATTGTGTTTCCTTTAACAGGTACATGAAGTTTACCACACTTTTACAGCCAAAGCAGATTCCTGAAGTAAGCTCAAATTTGGGTTTATAAATAAAGGATTTAATACAGGGGTGTGCAAACTCGGTCATGGAGTGGTCTCCAACTTGCTTCAGTACACCTGCCTGGAAGCTTCTAGTATATCTAATACAAGCTTGATTAGCTGATTCATGTGTGTTTAATTAGGGTTGGAGTTAAACTCTCCAGGACATCGACTCTCCAGGTCGAGTTGGGACATCCCTGATTTAATGAGTAAAAGTAATAAGGAAGAAAACAGTAGTTATTAGTGACAACATTAATGCACTATTGATAAAACCATATAAGAATCCATACCATTGTGCAATTTTTGCTTATTATTCTTATTATGATTATTATTCTTATTGTTAATATTAATAATTATTTATTACTATATTAGTAGTAGTAATAGGACAATATTGTTATTTCATAATCTTCAATAGACCTAATTAAGTGCTGCGATTTTAACATCAGTCTCTTATATTGCTTAAACTCAATTATCAGGATGGATTCTGATTGGCTGTTGGTGATTTTAACATGCATCAGCTGAAAATATTATTTTTAAAGTGAATTTTTTTTGTGTGTGTGTGAAAATGTGGTTTTGTGTCTTGAAAAGGCTCCTGAATGCATTTTACATTACAATTATATCAAATTTATTTATTGTTATGGTATTGGTTGCATGTTATGCTTGGTGGAAATCACCCTAATTTGGGTGGTGTGTGATTTATTTATCATCTATAATCTGGTAAATGTTGTTTTAGCCTCCAAACTGTTTTTTAACAACGCATAATTGAATGCCAATCCTCAGTGCCCAGATCTAAACTCGGACTCATTTTTGGTTGTTAAATTACATAAAATATGTATTTTACAAAACTTGACAGAAAATCAAAGCCAAATATCAACAAATTATTGAACAAATTATTGTCCAAATTTGAAGTTGATATGTAAACAAATGAGCTTTCGGTAAGATTTAGTTTGGCCACAATACCAAACATGACATCCGGTTTCCGTAGATCACCATACAAGAACGACCCCTATGTTTTGCAGAATATGAACCATATTTTTTCCTTCTGTTGAGGGTATTTGTAAAGAAGGCATACTATTCTAAAGTAGTATGTGCAATTTGGTGAAATTTTATTAGATTTTAGCCTCTAAAAACATCTAAATATTGTTTACTTGTGGATTGCTGTAGCAAAGTAATGTTTACTACTCTGAGCATACTTGTATACTAAATGAATAAACAACTGTTGCTCAGTAATATCTATCAAAACTCACCAGATGTGGAAACTTAACATTTTAAGCTTTCAAATGATGTATAGCTTGTCATGAAGACTTTGTTTAAACTACAATATTATATTAAGTATTTAATGCACCCACGGGTGGTTTGGTGACAGTAAATGTCTATTACTCTTCCTGTGTAATGATAAACAGTAATAAAATATGTATTCAGAACTTTGTTGAGATTATAGTAAGATTTAAGTGCAAAACAAAATGTAAACCTAAGCATAATAATCTTTTTTAAATGAATTTTTAATATTTTCAGTCTGTGGAAGAGAAGCAGAGCAGCCCTGGTCAAACCGATGACAACAGCGAGGGTTCACGGTGAGACTGAACACACCTGGTTTATTTTGACAATATATTCGTGTTTGTGTCTGTGCGTGTGTTCGGGATGCTGCAATACTCAATACAACATTGAACATTCGGTACAATCTCCATGGTCGCTTTTTGGTTTTAATAAAATAAATAAATAAATATATATATATATATATATATATATATATATTGCATTTTTCTCATTTTTAAAATTACTCTCTGAACTGGCTCTGTGCATGTTAGAATGTCCATGCACCGAAACATTTATAGTATTATATAACTTTGAAACTAAAACATTATTATAGTTTTGCATTGTTTAGTTTTTATTTCAATGCTATTTTTTAATTTTCTCTACATTTCAGTTTAGCTTGTTTTAGTAATGGTTTTGTTAGTTTTGCTTAAGTTTTTAATTTGAGAACACGTTTCTATTTAGTTTTTATATATTTGGCTTTAGTAATTCTCATTTGTCATTGTTAACAGAACATGTGCAGTGTTTGCAGAGCTTATATTAACCCCTGTGCAGACCTCGTAGTAATTAAAAAATATAATTGTTTTTACAGACACTGAATGATATACAGTTAAACACATCTAGTTGACTTTTTGGCAGATGGAGAATAAGATAGAGCATGTTTTATGTTTATATAGAGAATACTGTTTGTATTGAAGCATGTTTTGAAAAAGCACAACCTCAAGCAATCACTCAATTCTGCCACTGACCGAGTGCTTTTTTAATTGTAAAAATGATACAACTTGTGTGAAATGTTCTTTTGTGTGCTTTAATCTTAATGTCTTTTTAATTTACTGTAATAACAGTGTTTACAATGCTATCGACTCTGAGGAGCTGAAAGAGGCAGATCTCCCACAAGAGCCCAGTCTGGATGATCATCTGGCCTGTGCACGGTGGGTTCACTGTACAGACTTCACCCATTAAATTGAGTCTAAAATGAGTTTTCATTAAATATTGTTCTGTTTGTCTATTATTTAATATATTCATCTTAATATATTCATTTATTATTTATTATATATATATATATATATATCTGTTTGTCTATTATTTAATTGTGAACAGACTTATGCAGTTTCTGAACCCAGATCCACTCAATCCAGACCAGGAAACTGTTGATGCCAAAGTAAGAGTGCTCATTGCTTATTAATAATATTTTCTAATTTGTTTATTGTAAAGAATCATTAGAGTACTCATGTTGTATAGTTTAAGTTGCATAGAGTCCATATTTTCCTTTTTTTTTAAATTTTAAAGTAAATTATTAAAGGAATAAATAACTAATAAATAACTAAAATGGGCAATTATGTACATCCAGGGTGTGCACTTGTCCTAATTAAATCTCTTTACAGAATGGTCACAAATGACCTTCATTATGTGTACAGGCATTAAGGAAAATACATGCATATCTATGTGTATGCATACAAGTCAGCTTATATTATTCACAAATATTTATCGATCTATTGAGCTTCTACTATTAATTAATAACTTTAAAATCAGGCATTCTCTCTAAAACATATGCAACCCTTTTTCCCAGAAACACACCCTCATTTAAGTTAAGCACAGTATTTTTTTAAATCTCCATGGATTAATGTTATAATTGCATATACTGCTATAAGTATATTGCATATTGTGTTGTTTTGTTGTGTTTTCCAGGTTGCGCGCTGTGATCCGGGTCACTCTGGTGTTTTGGTTCACTCCGCCATTCGCATTGAACCCTGCAGTAACCTGACGCGCGCCCCAATCACAGAGCAGTTCAGAAAGGTGTTTATAATAGTGCTGGCCAAAGATTAATCGCTTCCAAAATAAAAAATACATTTTTACAAAACACATGCCTGTGTGCTGTGTATATTTATCATGTGTGTGTATAAGTAAATACACACATACATAAACAACAACAAGATTAAACAAAACTACAATGGACTTA